GTTTTAGGTGTTTTAAAGGATTGTTTCCCTTTAAATGACTTGTTTTTTTAAACCTGTTCTTTATTCTTGAAGGTGAAGTTACCAATGCCCTAAAAAAGCTCAATGCCATTCCAACAATTATACAAAAGCTCTCACCTGAAGGTAGGTTATTATGATTACCAAATATTTACTTAATTTTTGTGAACATAATTTAAATATAAACAGAGGATTTTCTTACATGTAAAAAAACACAACTAACACCAAAAAACCCCTTCTATTCTCCAGAGGGCGTGGTTGTCCATGAGTTTGCAACACTGTGCCTTGCCTCTCTCTCAGTGGATTCCACTTGCCAAGACCAGATCTACAACAACAATGGTATACCACCTATAATCAAACTCCTAACCAGCCCGGACCCAGATGTTACAAAGAACTCACTAGAGATCATCTTCAACCTAGTTCAGGTGACTCAGAGCCATATGCTTAAAATTGCAGGACTTCTGCTGCAGTAAGCATTTTCATTTTGAAGTTCAGTGACATTTAAAACACAACTAAACACGTAACTGTTATGTTTTTCATCCCCCTTGTAACCCTTGTGATTTGGGTGAATGAAGGAAAACAAAAGCCTCCAGGCGGTCCATGAGTTAGGTGGCCTCCCCTCTCTTCTGGAGCTGCTTAAATCAAACTTTCCTGTCATCCAGCATTTGGCTTTAAAGACGCTGAAATGTGTCACAGTTGATAAGGTTGCACAACAAACATTTAGGAAGGAGCAGGGATTAGAGAAGCTCATGAATCTTCTCGACAATAAGGTGAGTATAAAGTACTTTGAGAAGTATTCACACAGCTTAAACTATTCTGCTTTTATTCATTTAAAACCTCAATGTATTATATTATGAGAAAAAGACAGACCAACACAAAATAGTGCACTTTTCTCACATAAAAGAAATAAATTTTACATGTATGTCAACAACTAAGAAAAGTTGGAGCGTGTATTTTCATTCATCCTTCACCAAACCCATACCTTCAACAATAGTTGTCAGAACTATTGTTTGTGCCTTGTGTCACTGTTTATTGCCTGCCTTTTCTTTATTTTATATCTCTAAAAGGATTTTACCGACCTACATGCTGAGGCCTTACATGTTGTAGCAAACTGTTTGAATGATCATAAGACTCTTCAGCTGATCCATGACAACTGGGGCCTTGTAAGGCTGATGGACTTTGTGAAGACGCCCAACACACCTATAATCCAATCCATTGCTTTAAAATGCCTCAGCAAGGCAGCTCTGAGCTGTAAGGACATTGAAAAACATTGTTTAAACAATTCTATTTATGTCATCTGCAGCATGTTTAAGGAAAGTTATAACACATTTATGGTAGCTTCTGATTTATTTTGTTGATGCTTGCCTGGCCGTCTGGGGACATGGTGTGGACAGCTGAATGCCACAAAATTCTCCATGAGAAGGATGTAGAGAGTACGTTAGTAGAGCTTCTGTCTGTGGTTGACGACAGTGTGAGAGCTGCTGCCTGTCAGGCTATGGCTGCAATGAGCGTACACACAACCAGCAAAGACAACTTCAGAGACTTGGGTAAGCAAGACAAATAGAGATGTTTTGTCACTGGAGCATAACAGCAGTGGAATAAACAGTGACGCTGGTGTGTTTCAGGTGGTCTCCCTCTTGTGGTGCAACAGGTGAGTAGTGAGAACTTGGAGCTAAGAGAGGCAGCGACCCAGGCTCTCTCAAGACTGACACGTAGCAACACCCCCAATGCACTGTGAGTCACAAACTTCTTTTATACTTAGACAACTTTTATTGTCATTTTGTATACACTTCAAAACCTTTTAATTAATGTCATTAAGCAAGGACAAGGTTGCACACATTTTGTCTCAGGCTCTTAGTAGACCACAATTCTGTTCTTGAAAAACTAATGCTACATTCACACCGCAAGCAGCAGGATCAGCAAACACGCATGTGCTGCTTCATTTTTGATGCTTGTACAAGTTTAATTTTGTCACGCGGGTATAACTGTAGCTGCGTTGTCGAAAAGTGGGTCTGATGCGCGTTGGGCGGAGCTACTCTATCCTTTCTTTGCCTGTAACAACTATCTTTGCTGTGATCAGTGGCTAAAAATTAGTTTTAATATGTTTTTAAGTGAGAAAGTCCACCTTAAAACTTCACCTTTGCAGTCAGTTCATCCAGATTACGAGCCTGCCTAAATGTTATTTCGCTGTCGGAGCCGCTCAGACCTCTGCTATAATCTGTGATGCTGCGTTTGTTCCCCCTCTCCTGATTCTAGCTCATTTTACTTTTCCCAATTGGGCTGAGCGTAGTCGACCTTCAACATGGATGGCTCCCACTGCCGCATGGATTATGGGGCAAAAGATCGACACAACCTGTGCCCTACCTGACATGGATGTGAGCACCTTGTGGAGGCACTGTCTGAGAATCTCTACATGAACTTTAGTTTTATACCCCATGAAGTGAGGGTGGCTCGGTTATTCCAGTTATGTCCCCAGGATGGCTCTGACCCTCCGACCGCTGGGCAGGTGGCTCCCCCCAGGCGTTCAAATCTCTGTGGTGGGACCGCAGTCTCGTTGCCCCCCCTCTCGCAGGAAACTGGCCAAAATTGACCAGGGCCTGGCCTCAAAGGTGGGGCAGTTGTTGGCAGTTAGGAAAAATTAAATCCTTATTGAAGACAGTCTAATGGCTTACTTCCAGTGGCTGGGCTCTCTTCCCCACCAATAACTGATCTGATTGTGGAGGACGTCTTATCTCCGGCTGCTACTGCTTCTAATTTTAGAGATGAGGAGGAGGCAGAGTCCTCTCAAGCCTGCGGTTGGAGAGGCCAGTGACAGTTCCATGCGGGATGTCATGTCTATGACTCTGAAGCAGCTGCAGCTGGAACTCCGACAAGCAGAGGTAGCTGACTCTGAGAGTGCATTTTCTAGGTGCAGATGGGCTCCTACTCCCTTTTCTTTATCTGCATCAGAGTAATACCTGTGGGAGTTGCACTCCTGTCGGCGGGACCTGAGAGCATTGTCATCTCTGTCCTCAGACAGTCGGGTGTTTTCTGCCATGCACAAGTCAGTGAAGGCCAGCCTGGACCGTATGGCAGAACCCACTGTTGTTTCATTGATTGTGTCACCGTATTGGTAGCCCCATTCTGGGCAGCAAGGCCGTGGTTCCCACTCCTTTGAAGTCTGTGTCGTAGTACTCCATGGCATCTTCCAACAAGGAGGGATCTGCAGTCTCAGTTGGGGGGACAGATATGGCACCCCAACCCTCAACGTCTCCAGCAGTGGGCATGGGCCCTGGGAGGCTGACTTGGGGTTCAGACCCTTTCAGACGCACCATATTGAGTGCTCGGGCGCCCTCCATTCAGCTGCAATATGATAACAGATGGCGTCTCTTTTCTCATTGGTCCTCTGCCTGCAATGAGAATCCCGTTTCCTGCTTGGTGCCCACTATTCTGGGGTTCCTCCAGTTTCTGCTTAATAAGGGCTGATCTCCTTTCACTCTTAAGGTGTATGTTAATGCCGTCACTATCTGTCAACGACCGTACAGTGGGGCCCCATGATCTGGGCTCTCTTTTTCTCATAGGTTGCACCCGCTGCTGGCTCCATGAGAGCGTCTTTGGGACCTACCTTTGGTTCTTGCAGCTCTGTGCCACCCTTCATTTAAGCCTTTGGCACAGGCAGACCTGTAGTTTTCCTGCAAGACTGCTTTTCTGTAGGTTCGTCTTGGCTAAGAGGTTCAGCAAGCTACATGCTTACTCTGTCAGCGGTAGCTGTATCAGGTGGGCTCCAGATGACTCCGGTGTTACCCTGTGGCCTAATACTGCATTTGTACCCAACGTGTTGTTTCCTTTTCACAATAATCAGCCATTGCAGTGTTGTGATTTTATGTTCAATTCTATTCCCAGCCAGCTGGGAATTTATATTTCTGATACTTTAAGATGTTTATTGCCCTCCCCGGGAGGGGTGGTAACATATCTTATTTAATCAGATATTATTTCAGCTGTTATATACTGTTTATGACACACCGTCATACTAACTGTGTGTTAGAACAATAGATGAAAGAGTGATTCGAGCACTAATCATGGTCAAACAGTAATTCTGCACATACATGGAATAAATTCACCACATTTTCTGTTCAAAATATAAGAGTTTATTAACAACAATCATTTAGCTCCAAGTCAAACATGATTCAGTTTATCACTCTCAACTAAAACTAGTAAAACTCAACTAAACTAAACTACTATGTGCAAAGAGGAAGGGAAGCATGGTTGAAAAACCATATCATAGTTTAAGATGGATTTTGTTTTTGAAACCAAAGTTTATCTGGAAGTACCATCTCTCTTAATAAGAGACATGCCATCTACTAACGTGGTATCTTCTAGCGCGGTGTATGAAGCAGGGGGCCATGAGGTCCTCATCCAGCAGCTGAGCGGAAACTCTGCAAGGACAGTGGCCAACTCTACTGCCACTCTTTGTAACATGGCAGAACAGGAGATGATCCGGTCCAGTATTCTATCTCATGGAGGCATAGAGGCTCTGGTTGAAGCCTTAAAGTCCAAAGATACAGAGGCTCTTGTAAACACTGCCCTGTGTGTGGCAATGCTGGCCTCCGACAAAGATGCAAAGGAAAAGGTTTGTCTATTGCATGATCACAGCTTCGATCCTATTTATTTATATTAAGACAGAAAATAGAATGACCGAATGTCTGGAGTTTTCATCTAACAACCAAGCACATTATCTTGAAAAAGTACTCATACCAACAGCCAAAGGGTCAGTCGTAACTCTAGAGGTGTTTTACTGACTCAATGTTCATGTAGTAGATAGGACAACTATTATTACAAAATTCATAAAGGACACACATCTAGTCTCTGTGGATAGGTACCCAGAAGGAAGCCATTGCTGAAATCAAGTGCTTTTTGCTGTTTGCTCTGAGTCTTATTCCAGAAATACCAAACAGAAGAAGATATTCCTGTAACATGAGAAAAAAGTAGAGATTTTCCTTCAAATTAAATGCTACCTATAGTGGAAAACTACCAATTCTATAACCCTGAAAATCTAATCCCCAGATATTGTAGTGACTGCATCAACCTTTAAGGCTGCTTTTCTTCATTCGAGATAACAGAGCTGGTCAGGCCTTATTTGGATAATCAAAATGTAAAGATTCAGCTCTAAGGTCACCTTTCAACTGCGCAATGACCCTAAACATAAGCTGCAGTGAAATTATTTAGATTAAATCACATTCATATGTGAGAGAATTTCAGTCAAAGTCAAAAACTAAATTCAAATGAGAACTTACTGTTCTCTCACTCCCCGTCCAATTTAACAAAGATGTATAATAGTCCTTTTATTTCACAATGACCACGCTTTGTGTTACATATGAGTATGTATCAAGGTTTGGTGGTTAAAAGGTAACAGTATGTAGAACAGTTATAGGATCGGACTGGTTTTTACAATTACTGTATGTAAAACAAGTAAGAAATAATGAAAAACAATCTCATTTGACATGTTTATATTTATATCCTGTGTCAAAATTACCTGAAAAGTTACCCTTTTCTTTTTTCTTTCTCCCAAATAGCTTGAAAAAGCTGGAGGTCTTCAGGCGCTCGTCACTCTGCTAAATTCCAACGACAAGGATCTGCTGCAAAATGCATGCTTTGCAGTGAATGTTTGTGCTGGGGACACTTCTTGTGCAGTGAAGCTGTGTAGACTTGGGTAAAACACTGAGATAAATATAAAGCAATCAACTGCAGTGATAATATAAGATATTTATGTGTTAAGGTGCAGTAAGAGGAAGCCATTGTCTGATCACAGTACAACTTGATTGTTATAACTGTAGTTTTTCAAGATGGTGGCACAGAACAATTTATTAATCTTATGATTTTGCTCAGTGTTTGTTAGTTCATTCTTGGGGACATGCATGATCATTCTTTAGAGCATGTCTTCCTCTGTGTCTCAGGGCTTTGGAGATACTTCAGGAAATCAACCAGTCTGTGAAGCTTAGAACCAATTTCAGCAAGTGGGCCATGAGCAGCCTGCTGAACTCCAACTTGCCTGTTAAATACAGCCTGATGGGACATTTGGCCTCCACTGACATTATTACAAGTGGCTTCTATGATGCTGGGAAGGTTTGTTTACAAAAACACAGAAGATGTGAGAATCAAGAACACTAAAGACAAGGAGCATTTCTTTATTGTCTCATTAATGCCAAGAACCATCAAAAACAAGCAAGAATGAGGATTCTAGGTCTCATGTTAATGAAAATATTCCATATAAACTAAATCAACTTTAAGAGAGTCTAACAGTCCTTACTCTCAAAGAGTTGGACGAAATGGTAAACAATGATATCGTTCACACAAGGTAAAGATGAAGAATGATGGTCAAGTCTTTAATCTAAAAATATTGTTAGACTTAAAAATCTTCTTTTAAAAGTCATTTGTTTGTTTTTTCTAGCTCGCTTTGAAAACTGGGTGAATGGACAAAGTTCTAAGTTACAAACACCAATGTTCTCACAGAACTAGTGCACTGTATGTCTTAGCCTCTAAAAAAGATAGAAGATGTGATGATAAGGAAAGGTTGCTGCCAATGAAATTGTCATCCAGTTGTTTTGGGTTAAAGCTTTATATATTTCACCACCTTGTTCCGGTTGATTTTCAAGGCATCAAGAGCCGCTGGTTGCAAAAGACTTGATGCTGTCCATGTAAAATGCATCAAACCGTTTTATCGACCACAACATCCATCCAGTCAAAGACAAAGGGCTGTAACTAGGACAGTCTGCTCTAAATAGTCATTATAATAATTGTGTTTTTTTAGTTATTTAATCACCTACAGACATCATCCTTTTTTCCTGTCACTCATTTCAATACCAGAAAAAAACCTGCATAGATTTAAGAAAAAAGAGCAAATCGGTGAAGACTAATGTGTAAAAGTTTTTATAGGCCACGTCCCAAAACGATTACTGCCAGACATGTCTATCAAGTATTTGTCTGAAAACTCAAACAAAGGTTTAAGATCGCACAAAGCACTAACCATGCACCGATTTGAGAAAAGTGGATGTTTCCTGTCATGTGAAATAAGATCTAAAACTAACATAAAATTCCTTTCAAGAAAAGAACATCAAACAAACATAGTAGTGGCAGAGTGATGATCCTGGGATGCTTTGCTTCCTCGGGATTTACATGCTGTAACTGATGGAACCATGAATTCTCTCTAGCAAATTATTTAGAGGAAGAACATCTGGACATCAGTCTGGGATACAAAGCTCAAATGCACTTTAGATTAGGATAATTAAATGAAGACACCATGAAGTCTGAAGTAAAAAAAAAAACAAGCAGTTAAGGTCAGGCTTGGATATCATATCAGAACACTTTTTTTCTACTTGCTTTTCTGAGAAGCAAAAATACCAGGAAAAAAAAATAAAAAAAAAATAAAAAATATATATATATATGTATATATATATATATATATATAGTTTGTTTGCTGCATCTTTAAAAAAGGACAAAGCATTACCTTAACATCTTTTATGCATTTCTTCCTCTGTTTCCCACAGGCCAGTTTGGCCCACAAAGTTCTGACTTTGGAGGAGCTGTCCATGCAGCCAGTGAACCTGCAGCGGGCTGTTATTGTTATCAACATCGCAGCAGAGTATGAATCTTAAATTTTTTTTTTTATCTTCGCTCTTATAGTTTTGCACGGTATAGTCCTGTCAAAGCAGGGATAAAAGCCCCATTTACGCTACCCCTGTAAAACCAATCCATGCCAAGTTCAGGACGAGCTCGGATCAGTTAACTGTGCCAAGCTCGGTTCCTTGCTACCGTTTACACATCACAGTAGCACTATTCCTCACCTCCTAGTGACGATCTGCGGTACTTCTGCTCTCTAGAGGGAATCAAGCAAATCAACATTGCAGCGCCTGTAACATTCAGGAAGTTTGGCTAACATTGTGATATTTAGTTGTTGCGGATAGTTAGGCGAAGAAGGCAGCCTTTGGTGACCTTACTTGCCAGAGTTGGGTTTTGGGAAGTGGATACGACAAACAATAGTCTAATCAGGGCTTACAGACGCAGGAAACAACGACAGACGTTGAGTTTCATCACACTGCTAAGCAGAATCATCAATGGAAATTGTGTGGCATGGTAGGGAAGCTAGTATTCTTATGAATGTCTGATATTTCATGATTATGGGGGGTGACTGTAAGGAGATGACGTGGTCTGCTCATGTGCTCTTTGTTATCTGGGGACTGAGCCAGAACTGAACCATTCCGAGCCCTACGGATTAACTAGTATCAGTTTAGCGCAGTTTACTTGTGTCTGGCACGGTCTGGTTCAGTTTTGTGTGCCATTTACACTAAACAGTTATCTCGGTTACTGTGCTCAGACCGATCTTGGCACGGTTTCAAAAAGGTAGTTTAAATGGGACCTCAGATTAAAGAGTGTAATGAGTAATTTAAAAATTTATGAGTGTAATAAGGGCAGCTTAGATACAAAAGTTACAGTAAACTTGTTCCTGGGCCCTGTCCTGCGTTGTGACCAATGACCTGACAACATACATTTAACAATCCAGAATACCCTCATCCCATTGGTGGAGCCAAGTGTTGCTCACGGAGAAGATAGCGGGAGACATTAGAGCAGTATGGGGGATGAATGGAGTAATTTAAACGCTGACGCTGCTTTTGGGGGCAATGCACCTTCACATAGCGATGCTCCTTCTCCTCCGAAAAAAAAAGGATTCAGAACAATAGGGAGGAATGGGAAAAAACAAATACCTGGGTGGAAAAAGTCTGTGATAATGAATATAAAGCACATTGCAAATATGCATCTAATTCAATGCAGATTTGAGTCAGATAGTTAAAAAAATAATTTCACACACAAAGAGGGGCTAAAAAGAATCACCATGCAAGGAGGGGTGAAGGCAATCAGGTCAGCTGGCACGCACAAGAGGTGTCCCTAATTGTCACCCTCTCCCTGGCTGCTCCAATCCAATCCTTCACTTTCCCCCTCTAGTTCTTTTTTTTCTCTTCCGCTCACCTCCAGAGTGCCCCACCATTGTAAGCTGACTGCGTGATTTTTCCCACTTTGAAGATGCCAAACTCTCAGAGCTCTTAGACCAAAAAACTAACACAAAATCAACGGTATTCTCTTTAGAGCCTATAAAAATGCACTACAGGATATCAGGACTCATGAATTATGTGTTTAGAAAAACACAGTTAAAAGTAATCTACCTTAATGACTCAATGCAATCAGTTGGGTTTTCTAAGATAGAAACGTTTAAACTGGCTATATGATTAAATTGACTTGTCTGTAAAGAGCCTTAAGTTTATGCATTGTGAATTGGGCTGTAGAAATCAACTAAATTATATCAGATTGAACTGATTGTTTCCCTGTACAGAAAGAAAAAGAAGGAAGACAAAAATAAAAGACCTCCAACAGCGAAACAACAGAAGATGGTGGAGGATGTTTCCCTAGAAATGCTTATCAAAGAAGCCCAAGACTCCATCCTTCCACTGAAAGATGAGGAAGAGCAGTATGCTGCCCTGGCCAGGTACGGCATTTATTATGTTGTTAAAAAATGTTAAAGGGAAACAGCTGTTCCAACGCTTACAGTTCTGAATTCTCCCGAGTGGTCCCCGACTTTACACGAGTGAATAAAGTGAATGTGATTGGTCGATTATCAAGGGGGCAGGATCGTTGTGGCAGGAGGTTCGAAAGCAAGTATGACTATAGCCGGTTTGTCGGAAGCATCTTGCTAACCAGTTAGCATCTTAGTGCTAGTAGGTTCCCAATGAGAAATTCCATTGGGACCAAGTAGCAATAAATTGGTGACTTAGAAACGACACTGTCAAGGAACGCTATGGACAGAGGAAACATGCAAGAGGAGGAGAGTTTAGTGTCAGAGGTCGTGGATGAGTCTATTCGGTCATACATTTTTTATTTAGAGGAGCAAAGCGGGATGAAGATGTTGTGAAAAAGGACGCCAGGGCGGCAGAAGCTTGGTTTGGTGTAGAAGGCTTACAGCCGTACATGTTTGAGCCCTTGCCTCGCAATTTGCCTAGCTCTACGCCTGCAGAAGACACAGACGTCCATCCCTGTGAACACTGGGATGGAACTCAATGGTAAAGTAGATGATTCTTATTTCAACCCTTTGCGTATATTAGCTGCGACATAAGAATCAAGATGCTATGACCGAAAAAATATGAGTGACAGATGACCTTTGATATATGATTGGACAAATTTAGGTGTACAAGCTGACATATAACTAACTGGCCTGCATAAGATAACAAGAAAAAAAAACAGATTTTAAGACAGGATTTTTCTTTAAATATAAATTTTCTAAATTTTGGGACAATATGATCTGATAAAGAGTAAAATTATATACATGTTTACGCCAGAATGATTTGACATTTAAATATGATTTCCCTACAACTTTAAATAACCCAAGGATACCAAAGAATCCTATTGGAAACGGAGACAGGGTGTTTTTAAAAACTCCAACAAATTGGAGTTCAAGAATGCAGATTACAAGAAAAACATGTAGATCTGAAAGGTGTAACAGCAGCACTTTTTGGACGTCAGTTAACATTTTTCTACAGGTTGGTGAGTGAGGCCATGGGTGGAGCAGTGGCCAAGGAGAGTCTGCACCAATTTGGGTGGACGCTGCATCACAGTGAGCTCAAGTTTCAGCTCAAGTCTAACATTATTCCCATCGGTTTGATAAGAAAGGGGATCTACCTCCACAGAGCCCTTCTTTTCAAGGTACTTTCCACAGAGTTCATTTTTTCTTCTTCATTATATCATTTCCTTTCACCAAGTATTGTCTAGAATTTAAGTCCAACTTTTTTTGTGTTTTTTCACCGTTTCTCACGTTAAACCCATCAACATCATTGAATTTCCTTTGGATTTTTATGTGATGGACTCACACAAAAGGATTTGCATCACAGCATTTGAACGTTTTACGGTAGCGTTATCACAGTCCAGAACCGTTTCTCAATTCACAAGAATGCGTCTCGTGTCCTCGCCAACTATGTTCTTGAGAAGAACCCAGGAAAGTGTGGACTCTGGGAGAACAGGAGAACACACAATAAATAAATATGGCTAAATGGGAACAGAAGCGTACTCTTGACGTCACCACACACTCAGCTCGTCTGGATCTGCATTTCACCTCCTGGTATTAATAGTCTCTACATAATAATTTTTTTTCTATTTAGTGGGGGAATAATAATAACCACAGTCAGATAGACTCAAATCAAAATAACATTTTGCCAGATAGTACAAAAAAATCGCCATCAGAGCCAGCAGTACTTCAAACACGGCTATGCAGAGAGAGGGCTGCTGTAGACGGGCTAACGTTAGCCCTGGTTGCCGTTACCATCAGAGGTTCGCTGTTTGCCGTGGTCCTCTCAACTTCTGAATTTTTTTTTTATTACACATTAAATCAGTAAATTGGCCATATAGCGAGTATGTATAAGTATAATTTATCATGTTCTCTCCCCAATGATCTTAAAACGTACTTTTATTGAACAACGGCAACAGAAAAGAGAACTTTTAACTTAATACTCTGCAGCCGTAGTGCATGCTGGGACAGCTCCTTCTCAAGAACGGACAAAGCTGCTCTGATGCATGCTGGGTAAAAAGGGACGGGCGAGAACAACATCCAACATTCTTGGGTCTGCTGTTTTTGTGAATTGAAGCATTACTAGGGCTGAGGTTGATGACGTTTCACGAGAACACGAGCACATGGAACCCACATATTGAGAAACAGCCGAGGACTAACAACAAATGAAAGACAGAGTTACCAGATGCTCTCTTTTCAAGCATTGATCTTATTAGCAAAGATGTATCCAACTCTTTCATTTCTAAGATGTGTGAACATTGGGCTCACACTCCAAAAGTCTAGCGGCTGTAACTGCAGCAAAAACGTGCTTCTATTATTTTATTAAATTCATTATTTTGTGTGATTTGTTGTATGTATATATATATATATATATATATATATATATATATATATATATATATATATATTAGGGCTGTCAGTTTTAAAGCGTTATTAACGTGTTAACTGCTTTAGACTATAACGCCGACATTTTTTTTAACGCACGTTAATCGCGCATCAAAACAAGCGCACCGTTCGCTTGTGTTTTTCGTTTTTCCGCAGCGCTCACTGTACTGTTTGTTTTACCCTCTGCGCTTTCCGTAGTTTCAGGAACGCTAAGTTTTGGGAGAGACCGCAGCATAACAGACCCGTGCTTTGAATGAGCAAAAATGGCCAGCAGACAAGGTATCCTGAATGATAAGTTTCATTTTAAAGTTATACCAGAAGGCTGTCTTGATAAAACCTGAGTCCTATGTCTATGTTGTCCAGAAGAAACGAGCGTCTCACTGGCTTAGTGCCAACAAGACAAAGAAATAAATTAAAAGTCATGTGGAATGCACTGCTGCTGCAATTCCTGTTCAGACCAAAGGAATATTAAAGCATTTTGAAAATGTTCTACATGTAAAATGTTATGTTGTTGAGATGACTGCAAAGCCCAGTTATTGTAAATTCGTTTGATTTATTTATTATTTTGTGAGTAACTTCATTTTATTTGAATTAAGTCTGAATTTCATAACGGAATGTGCAGTTTATTTTAACAGTACATCTTTATTTTTGTCCTATGTTTGAGAAAAAAATTAATTTTATGGAGTACTTTGAAGTACTTTTTACTGTTCTGTAGTTTTGTAATTTTTTTTTACAATTTTTGAATAATTATTGGCCAGAATTTAAACCAGGATATTTTTATTCTAGTTTTTTAAAAGTGCTTTAAAAAAATAATAATTAAAAAAACTTATTGTATAAGCAAGTTTTTTTTACATTATTGCACATTTGCATTTTTTAAAATGCCCAAATAAAATAAATAAAATAAAAAGATAAAATATGCGATTAATTTGCGATTAATCTTGAGTTAACTGTTGATATTATGCGATTAATCGCGATTAAAATTTTTAATTGTTTGAGAGCACTAATATATATATATATATATATATATATATATATATATATATATATATATATATATATATATATATATATATATATATATATATAAAATGGATGGATGGATGGATGGATGTATGGATGGATGGATGGATGGATGGATGGATGGATGGATGGATGGATGGATGGATGGATGGATGGATGGATGGATGGATGGATGGATGGATGGATGGATATCTGGAGCGTGTAACAAAAGTAATTTCCCTCTGGGATTATTAAAGTCTGTCTGATTCTGATTCTGATCTTCTACAGTATTGCTGGTTGGTGGTTTTAATGAAATTCCAATAAAATACATTAAAGTTTGTAGCTGTAACATGAGTTTTGAAAACTTTTGTAAGGCACTGCATGGGCGGGTTGTAAAAAGGGGCCAACCAGTGTCCCTGTAGAAATGGTTCTGCCCCCTGTCCCAAAGACGTAACACACAATAAATATATGATAGAAAATATTTATGATATGCACTGGAAGAGAAACCCCAACTGATAAGTCCCTCAGACTAGTTTTCTTTTTTTTGTTCAGTTAATTTTACTGATGAATAAAAAGCTTCAGTCATATTGAGATAGAATTGCAGGTTATAAAGATATCAGAGATGTGGCCCTTAAGTTCACTTAACATAATATAAAGATGAGCTTTTGTCCTGTTTTTTTTTTATTGTTTTTTTTAAATATTCTTTTATTTGTTGGCTGCATGAAAAAACATTGGCCCCACCCTGGCCCCCCTGGTAAATTTGCTCTAGAACCGCCACTGAGGCACCAGATTAACATCCTAACTGGTCTCATCTTAATCTTTTCAGTGTCTTTCCGATTGCATGGAAATGAGCTGTACTCTTGTTCGTGGTGAATACAACCGGGCCTGGAATGAAGTGATTCTTTTTAGTAAGGACTCTTCGTTTCCAAGGCCACCGCCACGCCGCTACATAGTGGACCTGATGCATCAACCTGGAACCTTACTGCCAGTCGATACACCTGCTGCTGTGAAGTATCAGACTATATAGTTCAATGTAAATACAAACAGTTCTGTTTTACTTACTTTTTCAAAATTGAATGAACTACAGAACCTAATCTTAAAATAAACAAGTTACACCTACTTGTGTCTATTTATTTATTTATATTTATTTTGGCATGTAGTAGTCACTGGGATGTATCTTTTTAATTACAGCAAATAACCAAAAAACAATAAAATAGCCCTTAGAGTGCAGGTCTGCAGCTGGACTCTCTTGAAGAAAGGGAAGACTTTCTCCACCATTTGTGCTTATATCAATGACTTTTGTTAAACATGACTTCTGTTCATACTTAAATATGCTTTTTTGTTTCTTTTTGTACACTTTCTAAGTAACATTCCTCCTCGGATTAGAACCGGGTGATCAATCAGGTGATTAAACTCCTCCTCAGACTTTTTTCTCCTTTAGTTTTAAAGGTAGAAGAAGATAAAGTGCTTGGATTAAATGTTTACTGTAACAGATGCATCTCCAGCTAACCCAGAGGTTTTTTACAATAGGTGTAAAATTCATGTTCTAAGTTAGAAATACGCAGCAAATCCAGATATCCAGAAGGTTTACAGTGAGGTGTAGCATAAGTTAATGGTTCAGTTTTTACATACCATAAACTCTGAGGTTGATAAACAGACCCTGCTTAATTCCAGTTGTAGTACTAATGAGGCACAAGTATCTGCCCTCATCCTGAATCTTCACCGCCCTAAGATTAAGTGAGAAGTTCTGCTTTGAAGCAGGTCCTTAAACAGGGAGGTTCTGCCAACCACAGTTTTAGTATAAAAGCATCTCTTTGTTGGTAAATGGCCTGTCCTTAAATACAGTAGCACGATTTCAAGCCAAACCAAAGCACTACACTACATTCAGTCATTGACTCAGACACTGATGGTGGTGAGCTACACTGTAGCCACCGCTGCCCTGGTGCACACTGACAGAAGCGTACACTGGAGCCACCAGGCCCTCTGACCACCATCAGTAGGCAATGCGGGTGAAGTGTCTTGCCCAAGGACACAACGACAATGAAAGGTGGGGTTCTGTCAGACCAGCATACCCATAGTCAGTACCCGTTTATCCTATGGTTTATACCTTTAGTTTTGTGCGAAAAATAGACTTTAAACTACCTCAATGGCCGTGTATCCCTTTAGTCATATACAAAAACAATTTAAAAACAATTTAATTCCTTACTCTTTGGCGTTGCGTATGGTGATCTCACCTTAAATAGTTTTTTGTTGTTGTACATAACTAAAGGGATGAACGCCCGTTGAGGTTGTTTAAAGTGCTGGTGAGGGTTCTCAGTCATCCAGGTCACAGCCATTGCAAAAAAAGAAAATTACAAACAATTCACTGGACTTTGTTTCCAAGCCGGAAGACGTTTCACTTTCCATCCAGGAAGCTTTTCCAATTCAAAATGTCAGAAATAGCGTTGAGTTTCAGGTTTTTTTACAGTAGCCCAACAAAGCCTTGTTTTTATTATGAAATCATGCAAATTGGAACAGAGAAAGGGCTTATTTTGTTAGACTGCAATACACCATACCCATCCAAGTGTCTGTCTAACAAAAGAAGCCACTGGTATTATGACATTAAAGAATTGATCTAATCGTATTTATCTAAACTTTTAATGATTGCTTTAGCAGGAAAGGACACTGGGAGTTACAGACATCCCAAGTTCCAAAAACTCATTTCAGGGAGATGCTTATCATGCCCCCCCAAAACACACACACACACCATGGGGACAACGGACCCGCAGCATGGCCCATAAATACACACTTAAGGCCAGCAACTTTCAACTGCTGTTTATTAACTAACAGTAATTTCTTAAACACAAAACAGAACAGTATCGGTCTTTTATTTTCAATTTCCAATACTTTCAATCTTGTAGCCTTGAACATCAGTTGTGCTTTCTTATATTCATGGGACTTCATCATACAGTGCACCTCGCCACAGTGTCATCGTTCCTCACCATGGCTGGTTCTAGACAGGGGCCAACGGGGGCCGATGCCCCTGTAGATCATGTCCTTGGCCCTGTACAGAAGACATAATACTTAAAAGAAATTCTAATTATGATCTGCGCTGGAACAGACATGGTTACTGATAGGTCCTTTGGATTTATTTCATTCTTTTTCTTTACAAATTCTGTTTTAGTAATTATTCAAAAACAATAAGGTTATACAGTAGCTTCAGTGGTGTTTAAATAGGTTCCCAGTTTTCATCTGCTTAAGGTTTTTTTTTTTCACAACAAATAGATAAAAAATTGCTCTAATTTTTACAGATGTATTTAACAGTTTTTCTTGAATTCTAATCTTAATTTTATAGAAAATGTTAGTTTTAACTTAAATTAAGTCAAAAATATTTAAATTTCCTAAATTATAAATGTATATTGACCCCATCATTTTTATTGGACCTAATTGAAAAGAATTTTCCCTTTATGCAGCACTCTTAATATATTTGAATCCCTTGCCCTGTTTTTTTATTTCCTGCTCTTCTGGGCCCCCATGAAAACATGCTGGCCCCCTCCTGGCCCCCTGGTACATTTTGTCTAGATCCGCCACTGTTCCTCACCTTCACTAGACGTGGATATACTTTAGTATATTCTGCTGTAAAATTAGTCTGATATTTTCATTTTTTACTCGAGGATTGAACCTCTGCCGTTTCACAGGATGCACAGCTTTGAGTGGTAACTAGGTGAGAGTAACCCGAAACTTATGGGACTGATCCCATCAGCGCTCTGACAACCAGCCGCCTGGAACGCTCACTGAACAGAGCATCGCTTTGGACAGATACGCTGCACAGATTTCACCAGCAGCCTCCTCCCCACACCCCGCTCTCTCTTATTGTCTGCACAATCACAGTAGTTCTAATCCACACATGATGAACAAATTATTGTATTGCCTGCTTGCACTCACTCGCATAAAAAAAAATCCACCTTGCAGAGTCTAAAATCCATGATAATTTATCCGACTCGCGGGCATCAGTGAACAACTATCTATATCAGGAAGACTCCCGGAACTTCCTGGAGGCTTGGGATTACTGGAGTTAATTGAGATCAGAATAATTTTATTAAGATTAAGCCTAGCATACACTGTTTTATTTTGGGTGGTTTTTTGAGACGATGTTCAGCAGCAGAGAGAAACTATGCACAAAAATTAAAAAGAGACACTGAGAGCAGTATTTGGATGTGAAAAATTTCACAAGTGCATTTATGGAAGGGATGTGGTGCTGGAAAGTGTTCTCAAGCCATTGATTAAAAATCTCAACCAAACTGCTTGGGGACAAATCACCACGGTTACAAAGACTTATGCTGTGTCTGCAAAAATACTGTTTGACATTTGAGGTTTTCGCCTGGAAAACACCTGGTAATGGCTGATGCACTCAGCAGAGCATCACTCGAAATCACAAGTCCAAGATCTACAGAACATGATGTGCAATTGCCTGTGGAAATGGAGACAGATTGCAACAGCAACAAAGAATGACAGAGAGCTGCATGCAGTGACAGAAAAAATGAAACAACCAGGAGATCTGAAACTGAGCCATCAATATCAGAACTTTAAAGAGAAATTCACTATGATGGATGGTGTCTTAATGAAAGGAGGTAAACTTGTGATAGTGACCTCAATGCGTCAAGAGATGACTAATCTCGTAAAGGTAATTTGGGCAAAGAAAAATGCAAGAGGCGAGCTAGAGACTTGCTATATTTTCCTCCTATGAACAGAGACATTGAAACATATGTGCAGCTCTATGGGGTATGTCAACTACACAGGTATCAACAGCAGAGAGAACTAATGTTTCACAGCAGACCAGCTAGCGCCCGGAGTAAAGTGGGAACGGATTTGTTTAATCTGTCAGGAAGAGATTATCTTGTTATAGATTACTACTCTACTTACCCAGGAGTGGTACAACTCTCAGACACAAAACCAAGAAAGTAGTCAAATGCACCAAAGGCATATTTGCTAGACATGGTATCCTGTCAACTGTGGTGAGGGATAATGGTCCACAATTCAACAGTCATGAATACAATCTGATCTGATCTAATCTGGATTTGATCAGATAACAGAAATAGAACTTTATTGGTCTTAAAATGGAGAATGTACCTCTGCATTTAACCCATCCCCTTGGGGAGCAGTGGGCTGCCATTGTTTGGTGTCCAGGAAGCACTGTGGAGTTAGAGGCATTGCTCAGGGACCCAGAGTGCAGGCTGTGAGGATCATATTGGGTACTTGCAACCTTCTCAGAGCACAAGCACACTGCTCTAACCACTAGGCCACTACTCCCCAAGCTGATTCCACATTTTACACAGTCAAATGGCTTATCTGAAAAAGGAGTGCAGATTGTATAGAGGCTCTTCAAGAAGGCCAGTTGAGACAGGAGGTGATCTGTATTTGTGTTTACTAAACAACAGAACACCATCTTCAGTTAAAGGACTCTCCAGCAGAACTTCTTATTAACAGATGGCTTATAACTAGGGATGTCCCAATCAGCATTTTAGGCTTCCGATCCTTATCCGATCTTTGAACCTCAAATCCGATCCGATTTTGAGTCCCGATCCGATATCTTGCCTTTAGTATTAAAATTGATCAAACTCAAACATATTTTTAGCAAGTAACCCAACTTTTTATTAGACTAATATTTTATCAAAAAGCATTACTATTATTATTGTAAAACCCAGAATTAAAGGTCAGCTTCAATTTAATATTTTAGATAAAAGTAAAAAGAAAAACACTGACTTGGTACCGTATTATCCAAAAGAAAGTGCTATCCAAGATCCACTTTTAGCTTACAAGTGCTTAACATATGCTGCCATAAAGTCAATAAAAATAAAGTGCACTGATCACTGAGAAAACATAAAATGCATCATCTTAAATAAACAGATTGACAAATAGTCACATTTAAGTAAATTAATTTGAAACATCTAAAGCCAACTTAAAATATAAACAGCGTTAGTAACGCCGTTACTTTTAACGCCGTTACTCCCATCACTGTCCCCTTGGCAGATTGCTTACCTGCTCAAACTTAGGGTGAATACAATTATCTTTAGCAGTGTAATACTAAATCATTTCGTATGATGATATACGTTGACAGAGAAACCGTAACTTGGACAATTTTAATATTTTGCCCTTACAATTTATTTAGACAATTATTTAGAAATTGCAGTCAGCTTTAAACTTCAGTCGTATTACGACAGTATCCTAGTTTTTACCTGTCAGATCATGAGTCTGCAACCCTGGCTTTGTGCAGTAGATAATACTTATAATGTTTACAGCTTTTTTTTTTTATCATCATCTGCCCTAGCTGGCTTTAATTGTTCATTTCATGCATCTATCTGCCTAACTCTGCTCAGTCTCTAATTATCACTGATCTCTTCCACCTGCGTCTGTTCCTTTATATTGGGCACAGTTCCAGCTATCAGGGCCAGGTCATTGTTTGTTTGATGTCTGTTTGATTGATTTCTGTTTCTCCTGTCTGTTGGTTTTGTTAGTTTTAGTTATTTCCAAGGTTCATTTCCCCATTTTCAGTTGGAGATTACTCTTGAGCCCTTGTCTCCAGGTGAGTTAATTCCCTAACCAGTGTTGAGAGCGTTTCAGCGTTTCCCGAGTGATTCTGATTTCCTGATTCTGTTCCCTCTAACCCACTGTCCCTGTCTGATCTGTTCGCCTGAACCATCCCTGGACTCCTGCTGGATTCTGCCTGTCTGCATCTGTGCATGTCCGTTGGGGCACGCTTCTGAATTCGAACCTCCCTTCACGTTCTAAGGATTCCTCAGACCCTGGATCCCTCTGTTCTGGTTTGGGTCGGAACCTCTGATAGATCTGAGGTTTCCTGGATTCCTGAACTGTACCTGCCTGCTCTGTCTTCCCCTGACCTGGATCGGCTTCCTGCAAGTCCTCCGGGGCTGCAGCATCAGGGACACTCTGGGCTCATAAAGAAGATGTGTCTTTTATATTTCAAACAGAATGGTTTAGTATTGCATTTTTAATAAAAGTCTAACTGGAAAACAGCAGAATAAACACAATCTCTTTGCATCAACAGCAAATCGTTTTAGTAAGTTTAAAAGAGGTTTTAAGAAGAAATTAAAATAATTAATATAACTCAATCATATTTATTCTGATTATTCTAGCTAAACGTTTATTGTGTATGGTTTCAATTATTATATAGATGTATTAAATTTGCCTACTATATCTAACGATTGTAGGAATCAAAGTCTCGATTCATCTGATTAACCTATTTTAATTTATTTAATTCAAATGGCAACACCTGCTAATCTTCCATTGCTTTTTATCTTATATTGGGCAGATCATGGGAAGCAAACATTTATATTTTTTCAATTTAAATCTCAAAACAATACATTTTATATTTTGCTATTTGTAGCAACAAAATTGCCCACTAAAAAGACAAGAGAGTTTCTCTTTAGCTTGCGTAATTTCATTTTACTTTATTTTCTTAATTACATTAATTAAATATATTAGATTAATTTGATTGTAATTAGTTTTTGGCATCGTCTTATGTTTTTATTTTTATTTTTGCAGTACAGAGCCTATTTCACTTCCGTTACTGACGTACTTCCTTCCAAATGAAAGACACAGAAGGGGGGGTGTGATGTTAAACAAAGTTTAATATTAATGATTAGGCTATTTCTATTCATTCAAGCGTGTCCTAGTTTAATATTTATACTAAAATAAAGTGTATGCTAAAAGTGAATATAAGCCAAACACGCTTTCTAAATGAAAATTATTTAGCTCGCCACCCCCCTTTTTTTCTGACATGGTTTCTTCCATACTCGGTTTGAAGCAGAAGCGGGAGACATTGTTGTTATACCTCTGCTGTTGTCTTTTTCCGGGAAGAAATAGGTAAAGAAAAGTAAAAAAGTGAAAAACTTACATAGAAAAAAAAGCTGTAGATTGAATATACAACCGTATAAAACATGGTTATATGTTGACCGAGCTCCTTATTTCTGTTTACGATGTCGTGAAACTATGCTAATCTTTAAGCTAGTGTTAGCAGATCAATATGGAAGGCAGTTAAAATAAGAGCGTTTAATTCTTACACCCTTCGGTTTGTTTCCTACAGGATGGATATAACGAGCTCTCTAAAGTCTCTGCTGTTGGCCATCCGACAGTACAGAGACAGCAGGACTGCTCAGCATGCTGCCCAGCTGCACAAACAAGTGGAGGTGAGAGCGTCTGACAGATCCTAGCAGCTCACAAACCAAACAGTATTCATCAAGGTTGTAGTAAAGTATATTAAGGCTGTAGTTGCACTATAATTCTGGCTTTATTACCTTACTACCTTTTTGAAGGGTTTCAGATGTAACATTTAAGGATACAAATCTCTTTTGAGCAGTTTTTATTGTTTTATTATTATTTATATAACCAATGTAGACTCCTAGTTTAGACAAAGACCAGATTTTTGGATAGGCTTTAAGGTCAGGCGTAAACGTAGTAGGCTTTATTGCTATCTTTGTTCAAACTAAAGCTGTTCAGATTAGGATGAAATTGACTTTTTTAATTTTTTTTTTTTACCCCTTCCAGTCTGCACACTGCACTTATTCCACAACTGTCCCACAGCATGATTCTGCCCTTACCATGCTTGATGGTTAATGCTGTTTGAAAAGTCTAAACTTTATTTGTTCAACAGGGCTTCTTTGGTTTTTCTGTAGGGGTCTTGCAGTTTCTCTTTATGCAATTAAAACCTTTGTGAAATTGTTTAGCTAATTAACACTCTATGGCTTTAGATAAAGGATGGATACATGGAATATTCAGCAGAGTGTATAACCATGATGCCTAAATGTTATCTAGTATAATCAAGGAGGTCAAGAAGACTGAATCCTAATTATAAAAGTGAACTAGAATGTGTTTCAGCTAAGTGTTAGTTTAAGGGTGTGCATGTTTATGCCACCATGTAAGTGCAGATTTTAATGTTTACATCTTTTGATTTAATAAACACTTTATATGCAGGAGAAATATCACATCTGGTCAAGATTTTTAAAAATTATTCATCAAGATCTTATTTGAACAAGAGCATGTTTGTGTACACTTAAGAGATCCATTATAAGCTCAACATAATCAAAGGGAAAGGTTAATGGTGAGTTCTTTTTTTTTGGGTTATTTTTTTTACCAAGGAGTTTGTTTCTGATCGGAGTTGAGATCTCTTTATGCTTAAATAGTTTAGATAAAACTGAAGCCCACCAAGTTATGATTCTTTAAACCTTTATAATAAATAGAAATATCTTTGTTAATTTTAAACCAATAAAAGCCTTCTTGTAGTTAAAGAAAAGCTTTAAGGTCTCTTTACCTTCACCTTCAGCTCCTTTCATATACTTTTTTATAAGTTTTGAATGAGCACCCTGTCTTTATCTCTCCAAACTTTTAATATGAATTTTCATCAAAAGAACCAAAATTAAAAGATTGCTTACATTTCAAATCTGTCCAGAGTTTGAATGTTTTCGGTTCACCCCTCTGTTGCTTACTTACCTGTTGTGTGTTTCAGGGAATTTCCCATCTGGAATTTGACCGCCTGCTTTCCTCGGCTCACTTTCTACCCACTGAGTGTGTGAGTGGCCTGGTAGAGCTGGCAGGAAACCCAAACACAAGTCCTGCCCTGACCAGCGCCATCATCTCCCTGCTGGCCCAGCTGGGTGAGGGGCCCCACTAAATGGGGCAGTGATTGGGCCTTTTCTGGATCGCCGTCTTTTATGTTTCTCTCTCTGCTGCAGGGAATGATGATGCCAGCCGGGAAATTCTCCACAAAGGTTACAACCTGACCAGCACCCTGGCTGCTGTCATCCACTGCCACAGCAGCACACCTGGAGAGCCTCTGGTGCTGCAGGTAGGCTTCAGCCGCCGCTGCTAAATCTGGCCCCTGGGCCTATAATGATATGGTATAACCAGTTCACTTAGAGTAATACCATGTAGATGCATGGGTTGTCAAGGTTACAGTACAAAGAAAAGGTTTGATTTTTATTTATTTTACTACACCTCTGTTTGATTTATTAATTTAAAACATCTGATAGGTTTTCAGATGCTTTTATTCTTGAAAACTTCAAATTACCAGGAAGAGTTGGTGACTGTAGCCTTAATACTCCTTCATATGATCATTATTAGCAGATATCTGCTTATGGACTGAATCCTGAAGGATGATGATCAAATCTAGTCTTTTAGGCTTTGGATTCTCCACAGGCTGCCATCAGCTCTATGGTGTCATGGCTTTATCTTGGGGGTGATGCTGTTTGATTCGGGCCATAAACCATTTCTACGCCTTTGGCCTGATGTGCATAGATGCAGGTTGAAAGGTGCTAAATTGTACCCTGGTTTCGGTATGTATAACTGAGAATGTTGTGGGTGATTTGCCAAGACCTCTGTACAAATATTAAGATATGCAAACTAATTGGGTTCTTGATAATAATCAGTATTAGCTGGTGTCTGGTAATCTGGCTCTGACAAAAAGAATGAGATCCCAGATACAAGCTGCTGAAATGATGCAGGGCAGCTCTTCAGAGATGGGATGGGATGCCCCCTTGGCGTTCTTTTTGGTTAGCAGGGTTCTGATGTGCTTTAAGTCGGCCGCTACCCTGAACTTCAATGAGCAGGAGAACTGTGCTGGTGCTGCGCCAGTGCCCAACCAATCTGATCATTTGCATATAAAGGGGAGATAAGAACATTGCCTCCTAACAGGAGAAAGGAGAAAATAACAAAAGAAATAAGCTTAATTAGCTAAAGGAAAAGATTAAAAAGAAAGTCTTGCTTTACTCTTTAGAGTAGTACTGTGTATTTTATTTTCTTCTTGTTTTCCAGTGTCTTCAGGTGCTGCAGAAGCTGACGTACAGCACTCATAGCTTCCAGTTCACAAGCTACATCCAGGAGCTCATCGCTTTTCTCCTGACAAACATGTAAGACCCTTGAATTCTTAGTGCGAGCAGTTGGATCATTTGGCATGTGTTGCTGCCTGTTTATCTTCTCACCATTGGTGTATAACCACAGACAGTCTCAGAATGAGGAGATCCTCGTGCACTGCCTCGCCCTCATGGCCAACCTTTGTCGTGACAACCCCTCCGTGCAGAGCCACATCAAGTCAATGGTGAGGGTCTCACAAGATTACACTCTAAAGTGTTTTTTATTTTGCTTTTTTTCGGTTAGAGAAAATAAGTCGCATGATTCTGATATGAGTGCTCATGTCTCCCTGGAAAATTCTGGTCTGCACTGATTGATTATTGGGTAATCATCAGAACTATGACTCGGAGTCGTTCAGATAGAGCTTCCTAATCAAACTTCCTGTCGTTGAGGTTGGTTTTATATTATTAACAGATGAATAAATATTCTAAGACAGATAAAGACATTGTTAGATTAGACTGTTTACAACAATGCACCCTCACTCCCTCTGCTGATGGAGACGCCTCAGAAAGTCTCCCTTTAAGCCGGACGTACACTGAGCAATTATTTTTTTCAGTCGTCGCATGCAGCTGCTGCTCACACCGTACGACTAACCGCAGGGTTTAGTTGTTCTGTGTGAGTTGTTCACAGCTCACCAATTATGTTCGCCCCAACGCTCTCATGCGATCTACCTGCTCACATTTTATGACTACAAACCACGTCGGATTCAGCTCCGCACTGAGCTAGAGCTGCTCTGACTCGTCTATCCAGAAGCCAAACAAATAGAAGGGTGATATTGAGCTCACTATAGTGAAACTCGCTGCCTTGGCAATTTGTGCAATTTTGTGCTGAAAGCCCTAAAAAGAAAAGGCGACGACGTATTTGGAAAAAAGCCATAGCTGAGCAAACGTGGCTGCTACGGTCTGTCAGTTTTACAGACAGAACTGTATTTCACTCATTGCACCCCTGACATGCTGCTGTGTTTACATCTGAGAGGAAGAAGAAGAAGAATCCTTCTTTGCACATGCGCCCTGAGCGATTTGCCCACGACGGTCGGGAGAAAATCAACCATTTTCTCCCGACCTCACGATTCCTGATTGGGAGGTGGTGGTAAAGGCTGATTTCCCCTCGTAACCTCGTGTACACTACACAACGCACAATCAGGGTGAAAATTGCTCAATCGAAAGAAAATCGCACAGTGTACGCCGGACTTTAGTGATATATATATATATATATATATATATATTTTTTTTTTTTTATTGCGAAGGGAAAACACTCTCCAAGCCAACCCGAATCTGTATGATAACTAATTGCTCTTTGAATTAAATAACTAGTTGTTCCCATCTGGGTCGGAACCACTGATCTTTATATATTCCCTGGATTTCTGATTTCCCGTTGTTGGTACCGTACTCCCTAGTTAGACCGGTCACAATGTAAACAATCCGTGCGCTACAGCATGGAACAATGATGATGTTCTCTTTTTCAGGGGGACTCAAGACTTTAAAAATAAAGATAAATTCATCACTTTGACACATACTGGCTGTTTCATAGCATAAGTAGATTCCTTTAACTTATATTTAAAAAAAAATAGGCACATCACATTGCATAGTCAGTATGAAGTCAATGATGTCTATAAATCATGTAAAATAACATATTATAAACATCCATCACAGTAAAATGAATGTGTTAATGGAGCATAATAATACAGGTGTGCCCAAAGTGCTAAACTGATTATTTACACTACAAAAACGACGGCGTCATCCACTTGATAAATAATTACTACACTGACATTTCACAATTAATCACTTTCTATTTCCTCTACTTTCTGTTTTCTAACGTTAAACACAATGTCAATGGTTAACTTAGTTAATATATTCGAGTCAGTCCAGAATAGCCAGACTAATGTTACGCTACATACTATACTATAGGACACATTGACGTATATGCAGGTTTTCTTGGTTAGTTCATCCACTGACTGAAATGACCTGTGGAGCGTCTTCTCACAGCCGGCTAACTGCTTGTTTCTAGCAGTCAAATGCTACACATGTTAGCATTTTTATTGTCATCTCCATGAGTGTGGGGAGTACCCATAAGGCGGCCGATGGCTTCACTTTGTTCGGGCTATCAGCAGCCCAGTGAGTAGATGGAGATCAGTGAATGGAACCAGCTACTGGGAGGCTTTTCGCTTTTTGCATCACTGTGAAGGAATTTAGTTTTTCTCATTAAGGTCATGTCCCTGATTCTCATTCAGAATTCACTCTAGACTTTGACATCTATTTTTTACGGCTTTGATTCCTTTTTTTCTTAAAGTGTTTGTTTTTAAAACATCAGATTTATCAGAACCCCAAAGGATGAGAAGTTTGTTTCCTCTGCCCAACTAATATTCTCCCAAAAGTCTTCAGATCATGAATCAGGAGCTTATTTAATGGGGTGTTTTTTCCCAGCCTCCCATTTTGTTACTGAATCATGATCTCTGACCTACGCTTATTTGGTTATGTTCTATAGGGTATTTGGTGCTGGTCAAATACCATATATATATATACCAGCTCGCATAGTATAAAACTCGGGATCATTTATCCGACTAGCGGGCATCTGTGAACAACTATCTATATCAAGGAGACTCCTGGGAGACTTGGGATGTCTGTTAGCGCCCCCAGCCACCTCTTCCAGCTGAAGACGGGCGGCTCGTGGCTCTCTGTGTGTCAAACTTGCTTGCAAACCTTCCGCCACAACGATCCCGCCCCCTTGATAATCGACTAATCACATTCACTTCATTCACTCGGGCAAAGTCGGGCACCACTCGGGAGAATTTGGAAATGCATCAATTGGAACAGCAGCTTCCCTACGACTCTAAAAAGCCTAATTAGTTCTGGTTTACACAGCTGTAAACCAGAACACAACTGTTCATGCTTGGTAATGGGATAGAATCTTTTTCTTAGACATTGTCTTCAATGATGATTTTTTTTTTATGTAAATTTTAAAGAAAAATTTAGTTTTTTTAAATGTATGTTTTTTAATATGTTTCTAATTTTCAAAGGACAACGTGAGGCGGTTTTACCGAACTCTGTTCAACCTCATGGCTCATAACAGTCTGACTGTGGTGATCTTTGCACTGTCCATTGTGGCCAGCCTCACTCTGAATGAGAAGGTGGGAGAGAAGGTAAGTAGGAACAACTCTCTCCTGTTTTTATCTAAAAAACAAACAAAAGGTGAAGAAACTCCGTTTTATCTTCCTAAAGTTAGCATTTTAGTTGTTTTGGGCCTTCTTTGGGTTTACTGGAAGATGCATTTCAACACCAAGGATTCCCCTAATTTATAGCATATGTTGCAGCTGTGCGTTGTTTTCCAGTCTGGAAGAAACTGTCAGCATTATTTTGCTTTTCTTAAGAGGTGCTGAACTTCAGATAAATTTTTTATTTTTATTTTTTTGGTTTTTATTTCCCATCAGTCGGTTAATTTTAAACACAATTCTCAACATTTTTTTTCCTGCAGTTTTTTGATGCACAAAACATCCATCAAACTTTCCAGCTGGTGTTCAACATCATGGTGAACGGTAACGGCTCTCTGACCATGAAGTACGCTGTGAATGTCCTCGTCGATCTGTTGAAGAGCTCCAGAATAGTAGATTACCTCACCAAGTGAGCTGGTCTTTAATGCCCTTTACACTTAGTGTTTACCACTAGAAGCTGCACTGGGCATCTGTCTGAAAGACCAAATCTCTATTTCTAGGTATCAGCACCTCTCAGCATGTGTCTCGCAGGTTTTGGGGCTGCTGCACTGTGAAGACCCTGACTCTGCAGCCACGGTGAGACACATACCTTTGAATGAGCTTCACCTCTAAACAAACATGAAGCAAAGCATGCTATGTCCAGGACATCCTGCTTTATTGGGACTCCAGCTTTGAATCTGTTGGCATTTGTTTCTACTGACAGATTTATTGCATTTATCGGGCAAAAGGCAGCAGAATGTTGACAGGGAATGGGGTTGTGGTGGATAAGTTGGTTTAAAAAAAAAGAAAACTGCTTTCTTAGCTGAAGGATAATATAATCACCGGCACAGGGGGAGGGTATGCACAATCAAACAATACTTTTTAGCCAGCCCTTTCTGCACATACACTGCAAAAAACTGAAATCTAAAGAAGTCATTTTTTTCTTCAATTGAGGAGGGAAGAGAGACACTTTGTCAATGGAACAAGAAAATTTATATTTAAAATGTAATAAGAAAAAAACTATTGCATTGTCTTATTTTAGGTGCATGTTATCAAAATGTCTGATTTTAGGAGGAAATATACTCATTTCATTGGCAAAACATTTTATTTTTACTCAAATTATGGGTAAATACTCATGTCCCAAAAAAAAAAGAAACAAAAACTGAAAAGGAAGCAGGATAGAAATGAAAAAATAAATTGAAGAAGTATGATAAAAACATTTTAGGTATAGGTAAAATTTTCAAGTTATTTAAAGACGGGAGGTAATTTATGACAGGCAATCATATTTGGGCCTGTAAATGTCGGCTAAAGCTACCGGTGGTTAAATGAAAGCTTAGTAGAGGCGACCGGGGAGCTCCTGTCCAGTGAAAAATCAGGAATATTGGATCCCAAATTTAGTAATCCAGTTTTAAGCGTATCAACACTTTTTTGTGTTTGAGCTCTGTTTTGTTATACTGTTGTCGCTGTCACGTTAATTTATTTTTATTTATACATCAATACCTTTCGCTGGTTCCACGACAAGTTATTATGTCAAATTGCAGCATCCTACTGTTGTACTATTTCTAGCCTTTCTGTGTATATTTACCATAACAACATGTAACCGGGATTATGTCACTGTGCATGGAAACAATTAGTCAATAAGCCAAAGCGATGAAGTCAATCGAGCGTTTAACTCCCAGTGTAGTTGTTCAAAAAAGCAAGAAAGAAAAGTCCAAGATGTAGTGCTGTGGGAGAGACCTATTAAAGAAAATTATTAAGCACAGGCCTTTAGCTAGGAATATTTGATAGGCTGTAAACCTTGGTGTACCACAACTTTAGGCTTTGCACGGCAGCGCAAGCTTCGTAGGACTAATTGACAACTGTCCTTCCTGGTAGGGAACAGTAGACATTGGAAGGCTAATTTGGGTTATAATCCCTGCTGGTCTTCGAATTGTTAACTGTAAGAGTTGGAATGAAATTCTTTTTAGTACATATTGAAAGAAAATAAGAGTTCTAAAGTGATACCTAACTTTAAGTTAATATTGCAGGAGATTTCCAGTAATTCCAGGTTGAAACCAATTATTACTAATTCAATGTTGTTAATCTTTAACACTAACTTTTATTCAAGTCACATTTCTTGTCTGATTGCTCTTGAAGAAGCTGAAGATTTCTCTCTCTGTAGTTCTATCATTTTTTTCTCTTTTCATTTTCCCCAAATTCATAAACTCCTCATCAGTTATGTTGAAGAAAAATTAAACAAATAAATCTTAGTCCACAAACATCCTTATTCAAATGTTCACTTAAATTTTCCCCTTTTATGCTCGAATATCAAACATATTTTCAATTCAAACTATAGATATAAAATACATTCTAAAAATCAACGGCTTCAATCATGTTATAAGCCATGGTATGAGTTTAGTCTGTCAAAGAGGCTGCCTGCAGGAATATTAAATGTCCAGCATGTGTCAGTGTTCACTGCCACAGTATCGACACAATATCAATACAATTTGCAAATGTGTTGAACGCTTCATGCCGCCTCATGATCCCATCACTAACGGACAGTATTGTCCCAAAGAGCAAACAAACATCCAAAATAATCCCATGGTTATCAGGCATTCCATGAGTTTTCCTAAACTTTTCAAAGTTTCAAGCTTACTTGTTTCCAAACAGCACAACATGCTTGTTAGGGGTGTAAATCACACCCATCGTGGCGATTCGATTCAGTATCGATTTCCTGACCCAGCGATTTGATTATTTTCGATACTCAAGAATGCCCCACGATTCGATTCGATTAATCGATTAATTTTTTTTTTTTTTTTTTTTTTTAGACCTTAAAGGCTAAACAAAGTTTCAAGTTTGAAATAAATCAATGAAAGCTGTAGTATCGGTATGCATTTTTTTTTTTTTAGAAACAACAGCAAATAACAGAAGTGCAATGCAATACCTCGGCTCCAGACGTCCCGCCCCCTCCACAGACGCTCCGCTGCTCCTCTCCCAAATTGTAGCTGACCGCAGACAGTGCAGCAGACAGGAGGCCGGCTTGGTTTGTTTTTATGACCGAAATTGCGGAAAACAACTCATTAAGTTTGACCCGCTAGAAGAGCGAGGTGCACGAAAAGGGTCCCAGCGATCTGGCGCATCTTGCTCTTCTAGCTGGTCCAACTTCACGAGTCTCTTTCCAAAATGGCGGTCATACAAACAAAACAAACCGTTAAGGTACCAAACAGGAAATACGCACAGTATAGAGCGGATGTAGATTTGACCAATCAGAGGCCTCCTGTCTGCGGTCACCTACAGTTTTGGGGCGGAGGCATATCTTCGTTCACTGCGACACGCAGACGACCTGGTTTCTGAGTATAAATCAGCGGGTCTAAAACTCCAGAGAAACGGTCTATTCTTTCCCTGATTCCCCGTTTCCACAACAGGCTGTTGGGTTATCTTAAGGTCCCAGCTCTCTCTCACCATCCTGCTACTAAATACCAAATGATGTATTTTTGAATATTGGTCATAATTAAAAACATTAACAAGATGTGTAATTTATCTATTACTATTGAATATGGCTTGACTGTGGGAGGGAGACAGACATACACTAGGTGATGGCATCTGCTACAGAGGAGACAAAGGAAGAATAAGAGTTAAGGGCTGGGCAATTAATTGCATTTGCAATATCATTGCAGTTAAGAAAAATGCAATTCTCAAATCACAGAGGCTTTCAGTTTTTATTCACAATACATTTAACAAGAGTAAGACATTAGTTTTCTCCCTCCCACCCTTTAGGTGGTGGTAATACGATTAAAGTGGGCCTGCTGTCACACAGGAGATAAGAGAGTTGCAGCTAGCTCCTACATCTATGCATTATTGCAGAACTAAGATATTTTTCATGCAAATGTTGCAGTAAAGTCCTGCAGCACTGGGCTCTGGAAGAAGACTTTTAAATGGGAACAGTTTTTTTTTCATTGGCCCCTTGATTTTACATTATTAGATCATGTTCTACTCACCCATATTAGTTCTGTGTCATTTGGAGCAGTTCTGAAAATATTCCGTTAGGTTATATCCAAGTAACGCCTTCCTATACCTATGTCTTCCTATATTGTATTGTATTTTATTATTATATTTATTATAGTTTATCATTATATATATATATATATATATATATATATATATATATATATATATATATATATATATTACTGTAAATTTACAGTCCTTTTTACTATTTTTCAAGGCTGCACTTTTAAAAGATGAAATTGTCCAGTGAGCTGTTTCCAAACGAAATTTCTTTTTGTTTTGCCAATTTGGGCAACTGAACAATGCCCAATAACTCGTTGCCCATCGTCTCTAAAAAAGTCTATGGGCAACGAGTTGAAGGAACAGACTAAACCGGTCATAATTTATTCTTTATGGTACGCCAGCATTCATAACATGCAGGCGAATCACTGTCGCCCAGATATCCGCGGTTATATTTTTTACATTTATATATATTTTTTAAACAAAGCGGAGTGTGTATGATGTCATCAGCCAGCGCCGGCTACCTTTCATTCATCCTGTCCGCTGAACTGCTGCTAGTTTTACTCGCATGCCTTAAAGAAACATCACAGATATATTCCCTGTCTATCATATTGCAAAAAGTAAAGGACCGTTTCACTTAAACTCTTGCTGCCGTTTAAATCTGATGTAGACCTGTTTTCCTGCTGCAGGTGCTGGAGCTCCTCCTGGCCATGTGCTGTGTTCCAGGTCTGCGCTCGCAGCTCTGCGATGTGGTTTTCAGACCAGCCAGACCCAAACTCAGAGTTGCAGCTCATGGAGAGGGAGCCGGAGGACGGAAACCAGTGTGCGGTCTGGCTCTGGTGCAGTGGCTGAGCTCGCCTGTGGAGGGCGCTGAGAAATGCTTGTTGCAGACGCTGCAGCTTTTGAATGAGCTGCTGGAGGTAGGAAGTATGGACAGAAACTTGTGCCATCAGAAACTGAATTTTTAAATACCCACAGTAAATCTGTGTATGCTAAATTTGAAATGAAAGCTCCAGTGTGTAATATTTAAAGGGGCTTACTGACGGTAATGTAATATATTATACATAAGTAGGTTATTTGTTATCATCTTCAAACTGAAAATCTCCTCCTTTAAGTTTGCATCACCATAGAAATTACTATTATAATTACTTAAGAGCGGGTCTCGCATTTATGGAGGCAGACATCTTTGAGTTATGGCAGCATAGAGCTGACAAACTGACAGTAGAGATCGCCATTACTGTCTGACTGCAGTTAGGCTTTTATAAGATCTATACCCTATGCCAGGCATCCCCAACCTTGGTCCTGGAGGCCCGCTGTCCTGGAGGTTTTAGAGGTTTCCTTGCTCCACCACAGCTGATTTTAATTGAAAGCTGATTAACAGGCTTTTGGTCTACTGCAATCATTATAATCAGCTGTGCTGAAGCAGGGAAACCTCTAAAACCTGCAGGACAGTGGGCCTCCAGGACCGAGGTTGGGGATGCCTGCCCTGCGCAGTTCTATGTAGTTCTAAAGTTCAGATTGCTTTTCATACATCTGGGTCTTTGAGAAAGACTGAAGTAATCAAACACAGATTCATATAATGTCATATGACTAGCAGGTTTGTATTGGATATATAACATGCATACGAAGCGTCAGATAAACAAATGTTCCTGCATGTCTATTAGCCTTATTTTGGCTTAGAAAACATGCAGATTAAACCAAACAAACGGGTCTGCCCCTTTGGAATGGGGGTCGTTTGGTTACTTTTTTAGCATGTAATATCCGATACCTGTCTGTCTCTCGAAAGGGGGTTCGCTTCCCATCCAGGAAGATGTTTTGCTTCCTGGGTGGGAACGAAACGTCATCAAGCTTGGAAAGAAAGTACAGTGGATTGTTTTTTTAATCTTTTTTGGAATGACTATGACCTGGATGACTGGGAATCCACCCAATCACTTTGCAACTGTTCTTCAGTTCTTTGCTGCTACCTAGAGAATAAGCCTTGCTTCATCAGCTTTTTATGCTGGACACCAACCAGGGTTTAGTGACATTAGGGAATAAAATGGATTCTGCAGACATGGAAGGTGGACAGCAATTACATGAATTAAAAATCCTGCTCATGTTTCCGTTGTTTTATACCAAGCAAACATTTATAGAAAAGGATCTACGGTGTTGCTCTTTTTAATGTGAACACACACTATATTTTATTATCTGCTCTCAAATAATTTCACATTTTTCCATCCCATAAATAATTTAAAATAAACTCTATGCAGCAGCACGGTCATATGAATTATTTTTATTGTGATAATCATGCTGGATACAATACCAGTTTGGGTTGATACTAAATGCAGGTGTTATTTGTTTATATTTTTGTCATTGTTAATTTTAGATTTCTAGATTATTGGCACATCAAAAGGATAATAATACTATTTCATAGAATCTGTGATTCTGTTGAGAAAGCGTTTGATAAAGCTTTTACTATGATTTATTATTTACCAGGGTGTTGATAGCTAGTTTAGATTTTTAGTATTTTGACATAATATCTGCAGCTATGAACTTTAAAGCAGTTAATTTTCTCTCCTGCATTTGTTTGAGTCTGTCGTTCCTCTTCAGTCCTTATCTTTTTTTTCTGTCCATCCAGGAGTCGCTGGGAGCAGAGAGGGTGTCTGAGTCCGTGTTGAACTTTGTGGAAATGTTGCTTCCAGTCGTCTTGGGGCTGCTGAAAGGCCCCGTTCAAGAGCAAGGAGACGCTCACCTCAGAAAACACTTCCAGCGCGTCACCCACATCTCCACCCTGCTGCTCAATATCCTTACTAGTTAGACTCAGCGTGTCTTTATTAGTACATTCCAGCTTACTTGAGCCGTTTAGAGGAGGGATTCTGAAGCTCAGAGCTCCAGCTGTGGTTGTTTGTGTTTTATATGATTCCTTTACCAGCTCTACCCCTCTGCTGCGTGGAGGCCACCAGATCTATGGTGTCCTCTCAGGTGAGCGCTCAGCTCTGCCTGTCTCAGGTAGAGATACTCCTCTCCTGTTGTCATAGCTACAGCTCCCTCACCTGCCTTTCTCCTGTCAGCAGTAAGGACCTCAGGTGAGTCAGAGAAAGACTGCTTAAAGTCACAATCAGAGAGTTTTGCATGACATGTTCTATGTGCAGATTTCTAGTTAAAATAAAGTTTTTGTATTGCAGCAATATGTTATCTTAAATAAATTGTGTGAATTGAGCTTGAAGTGGTGTGGTTTTCATCTCAGTCAGCTGTGTGCAGAAGCTCTGCTGAAGACTCTGGAGTTGATGAGCAAACTGAGGCAGCAGGTGAAGGACATGGAGACAAGCTTCTACAGGATTCTGCAGGTAAATAAATGTCCCCCATCGTCTCTCACCTGCGTTTAAACCTTCAGCCTAATGTTGCCCCCCCCATCAGGACCAGAGGACTGTGACTCCCCTCGCTTTGGCTCTGACGTCCCAAACCAGGGAGCAGGTCCAGACCGGCCTCAGTCTGCTGCTGGAAGCCACGCCCCTTCCAGACTTCCCATTGTCGATGTGAGTTGTTTGCAGGAACCAATAGATTAAGGAGCGGGGACAGACGTGCTGCTGGTCCTGTTACTGAATTTGTCTAACTTTATCGTTCTAGTTTGGGGGAAAGTATGGCCGCCAACAACGCCCTTCAAAGACAGGCGGAGCTGTCGGCGAAGCGTGTCGCTGTGCAGGAGGCCCCGCCTCCCAAGACAAACGGCAGCATGATGGACGTTTCCAAAGGTTACGGAAGCATGAACAACCTGGTGGAGAAGATACAGGCTGGATTGGAGGTGCAAACAGTCTCTAACGGCTTGAACCTGTTCAGATTTTATGATGTCAGCTTTGAGAAAACCAGGAAGTTTGGAGGATTTTATGTGACCGATTGATGCAAAGCAAATGTTATCTTGTCAGTATATTGAGGTTTGCAAATTCAATTAAGTTTTTAGGCCTGAAACTGTTAATCAGATTCATTTTAATGAACTGATTATTAAAATATTTTTCTTCTGATTTAGTAATCGATTAATAATTTACGGGTGTATATAAACTCTACCATTGAAATAATAAACAGACCCACTCGGCAGTAATTTAGGGAGAATGTAAAAAAAAAAAAAAAACATTTTAGTATTTAGGATCAAGAAGCTTTTTTTTCCGTCTGCTAACAATTCATCAAATATTATAGTTTTAGCTTCATCTGCTTTAAATTCTGTATTGAATCCTCTTTAAGGGGCTTTTTGCTGTCTGATTATTGATTGATTAATCGAAAATTAGCAAAAAACTCATTAGTTGCAGCCTTACTTCTTCTTCTTTGCAAAATATTTCAAGCTCAGTCGATTCAGACAGATCATCTGTAGACATCAGTTTTCTTCTCTGGAAGGATTGTGGTCTGTACTTTGACGAGGCCGTTCTAACGTCTTAATCTGCTTTGACCTGAACCGTTTTCATTGTCTCTCATTACCCAAAAAAAAAAGAACCACTTTTGTACCAAATGAAAAGCAGAAGTCTTTAAATATAAATAACTTAAAAGCTGTAACTTGGGTTTTTATGATGATTCTTATCGTCTCCGAGGTTTGTTCATTAATATTTTTTTTCTTTAGTTCAGGCATCAAACTCTGCTGATTGTTGATTTAACCTTTGAAACTTTCTCCAAATCTCCCAAATACACAAATTAGTTTTAAAGGATCTTTTGAGAACACTGGGAACATTTTCCTTTAAAAACATCAGATATGATGATGAAGAAAATAAGTTGGTGTGCGTTTCTTTTTTTTCCTGTTTCTATCCTAGTGCTGCTCAGTGGAGCAGTGGGTAGGACTGCTGCCTTGCAGCAAGAAGGTTGCGAGTTCGATTTCCCGGCCCATGGTCTTTCTGCATGGAGTTTGCATGTTCTCTCTGAGCATGCGTGGGTTCTCTCCGGGTACTCTGGCTTCCTCCCACAGTCCAAAAACATGATGTTAGGTTAATTTGCTTCTCTAAATTCCCCTTAGATTTGAGTGTGTGTAAATGGTTGGTCGTCCTGTTTGTCTCTGTGTTGCCCTGCGATGGACCGGCAACCTGTCCAGGATGGACCCCGCCTCTCGCCCGTTGACAGCTGGAGATAGGCACCAGCACCCCTCACGACCCCAGCAGGGATAAAGCATGATGGAACATTTTATATAAAATGTCTCCTGACCAAACCAGAAGCAGATTATTTCCTTGCCGGTTGTAGTAATATGCTAGCCTGGGTGCCAGTCAGAACTTAGTCCCGCCCACAAGGTTTGAGTTCGGGGAAGTTCGGTCTGGCTCTGCTCCATAGTAGCGCGAGTATTATCGCCCACTGTCAGGCGATCCAATCAAATTGTCAGGGCGGGCTTTATACGATGATGGACAGATGATCAAGAGTAACGTAATCAACCACGTGACCAAAGCGCGCTAGGGTGACAACAATAATGGCTGCCGCTGGAGAGTTTGGGTGAGTAGATTCTGCTATTAGGTCTGTTCTAGAAGATATCGACAGCAAATTAATTTTAAAAGAGGAACAGAGAAACACGATCAAGTCTCATCTTCTTATTCTAGGCGTGAAACTGCACACTTTGATTTTTGTGGACAACAACTATGCCTCGCTTAACATACGTCACGCACTCCGTTGCTCTTATTGGTTGTAGGTCTATCCAATTGAGTGCAGAGGCCTTTTTTTTCCTGGTTCGTTCGAAACACGCCCCATAATCACAGCTCTATGGAGCAGTATCAGACTCATATTCTGACTAGAATTGAGTAGGACTACGTCAGGCTAGTAATATGCACCTACATGCTTTACAGCTGTTCGTAAATGTCTTTTTTGCAGCTCCAGGAACAGACGAAGGACCCTTCTCTCTCTGAGGTCATTGACGTCTATGAGCAGAAATTAGCTGGATTTGCTGTAAGTTTAACAAAAAAGGAAAGATGTTGCAGCAGTGTTGGAGTAGGTTTTGGTATCTGCCTTAAAACTCCGGTTCAGCTAACCTTATTTCATTGCTCCCCATCAGTCTAAGGAGAGTCGCCTCCAGGAGCTTCTAGAGGCCAAAGCTCTGGCTCTTTCTCAGGCCGACCGTCTCATCGCAGAGTATCGACTCCAGAGAGCTCAGGCTGAGGCAGAGGTAAACCTTACATAATGCAGGTGAACTAGTGTGCTTTTAATCATTTATTAATCGTTTGGAAAATGACGCTGCTTTAAAAATGATGACGCATACTGCAGGAAAATCCAGCATGTATTAGTCTCTCTTTCACTGCAATAATCATTGAAAAGCATTGGAAATATTTAGAGCCAAAACCCAGTTTCTCCAGTCTGCATGACCTATGATATAGTTTTAAGGATAGCTCACATAAATAGATATGATATAAAAAGGTCTCATTGCAGGTTTGTTTGTGGCCAAAATAAAGTCGATCCAATCAGGGTTGCTTCGACGATTGGAAGCGATCCTAAAAAGTCGAATGACTCAAGAACACTTGAACCCCTGAAGGGAAACATCTACACCAGAGCTCACGGATTAGCAGACTGGGGTCCGGATCTGGACCCAACTGCTGGCTAATCTGGACCCAACCTGATTTAAAACATTTATAGATTACTGCATGTTGTCCGACGACAGTCTAACTTCACTTGAGCTGCTTCTCCTGTTTATATGGTAAAGTCCTCCAGGCTGCATGTGATACAAATGATCCAAAGAGCTGCTGTCAGTCTGGGTTGCTGCTGCTGCTACTTTTAGACACAGCAGGCAAACCTGTGGCAAGCCGGGCGATGGGAAAGAAGGAGAAGATGATGAGAAAAAGAGAGCAGAGAAAGTGTGGACTGCTGGAAGAACTGTGGTGAACTGCTGAAAGAAAAGTGAAATGGTGCTCAAAGATGACCCTGAACATTTAGAGGATGTTTGGTCAACCTGCTGCTGTGAAGCAGGATTCTCCACCATGAACAGAATCAAAAATAAATATGGATCCAGGCTCAAAATGAGCTCCTTGATATGTGCTTTAGAATGACTTAGTTTCCATTCAAAACAGGTTTAAAGCCTTGCAGGGCAGCATAAAGCCCACTGCCAACATTAAGACAGGAAATAGACAGTTCAGGTATTTTATAAAATATGCGAATCAGGAAATCTTCTATATCAAACTGAAAGATTGTTGCTCTCTACTTAAAAGAACACTTTAGATTTTAAAATGGAAAAATTGTCAATTTTTCTACTATATATTTTTTTATATAATTTTTTTACATTGAATTTTGTAAAATTGTATAAAAATTCAATGTCAAACATGGATGCATAAACACCTAATTTTATCTCAGTGTTAAATTCTGTTTAAAGTAACAGATTATATAAAAAATGTCTCCGGCCCTTTATTGGTTGATGATTTTCGATACTTTCTGATCTGTAATTGGTTCCCCCTGCTCTAAAGGTTATTGATTCAGGTCTAATCACCTTAGTCCTGCCTTCCATACAGTACTCCAACAGACTGAATCGTCTGGCTGAGCTTTATAATGCTGTCTATATCTGGTTCAGCTGTCTGACAGTGAAACATTACTGGTAGCCATGGATACGTTAGACCAGCTATGGTGTCACTCAAGGCCCTGATTTAAGCCCCTATGTTTTTTAAAAGGTGCGTGCTGATGACACAGCAGTTTGTCTTTGGGTCTCAAGCCTGAAGTAATCAAGTGAATAATATGATTCTCATTTAAATACTCATTCTATGGGCAGATCTTCTTATTTACCTGCTCAAACTAATAGAAAATGCACTTATTTTAAGATTCACTTATGACAGTATTTGCGGTGATGGGAAAGAATGAGATCTTCGCTGTTTGATGCTGGATGAGTAGACGAGTCATCAGATGTTATCAGGTCATGTTTACCTCGGTTTCTCTTTAATAGGCCTCCTCATTATCTTGACTTAACCTGAACCATGAGCGGAAGCTCAGATCTTTTTATTTTTTTTTATCTGCAGTCACTCTCCTCTCTGCAGGCTCGGAAGCTGGCAGGTCTGCTGAAGGATACAGAGCGTCGACGGGAGGATCTGCAGGGCGAGCTGAGTAACCAGGTGCTGGAGATGGAGCGAGCTAAAGCCGACATGAAGCTGCTGCTGCAGCACAAAGACCGGCTGCAGAAGGACTCTGAAGAACACCAAGTTCTCAAAGGAGCCTACAACGCCCTGCTCAACAGGTAACAGGCAGACAGATCATCAGAGTAAACCTCACATTTTTTTTCTATGTAAACATCTCTGTTTATGTCCATCAGTAGATCCCGTTAACTTGAAGCAGTTCAGGCTCTGGTCGTAACGTTTGCTTAATGATGCAGATCTTAAAGACGAAACCTTGTTTTCCTTGAAGAAAATGCCTGATCTGATGTGTCTTTTTTATTTTTTTTACTGCAGGTTTAATGAAACAGAGCGTCTGCTGAAGGAGGTGCAGGCGGCTCACATGTCTCTAAACAAACAGAACGACGCTCTGAAGAAAGACCACAAAATGCTTCAGCAGCAGAAGGACAGGTAGGAAACTCTTCATCACAGCCGGAGGCTTTAATGGTAGTTTACTTTCTGGTGTAGGTACCAGATCTGCTGGGGGCCCCGCCCCTTCTTATGACGTCCTCATATGGCAACTCCACTCGGACAAACTTTATTCAACCCATTTCTTAAGGATCAAATCTCTTCTGGAGTTTCAACATATTATTACCCATATTTGCTACTATTTCAAATTGCCGATCTAAAGTAGCCGCAAGTAGAAAACAATCATCGTCAGTCTTGAAGGAAAGTACTGTGTTCTAAGACAGACTGAGCTCTGCCATGTTGACACAGAAGTCTCAGCTTATTTTTATTCTTTTATCAAGATCTGAGCGCAGAGGAAGATCTTAAAAAAAAATCCCTTTCATAGAGATTTTTGACAAAACAGTTATTTTACTTAAAGAAGGCAAACAGTTGTTTTTAACACAAAGCTAAAAGTACTGTAGCTTAAAATGGCTAACTGACCAAGCTAAAAGAGGCTAACCTGTTAGCTTCTGAGCACAGCTAGCTGTAGTGCTACTCAGCTCTCCCGCTTTATAACATGGCCTCGCAGTTACTTTGTTCACCTTAAACAGATTTTTTTCAGTTTTGTTATCAATCAGGTAAAACTTGATCATTCATTAGACACGCTAACGCTACAGATGCTCCCGACGCTGCGTGATGTTATCGTTTTCTAGGAAACCACAATGTTTTACATTATGTAGCAATGTTCAGCCAATCATGAAGCATAAAGGCCAAATCATACTTCTGACACAGCCTCTGCAACTATCAAATCTGTCTCCATGCCCGACCACGCCCCCCGCGCAGAGATTCTGCAACCGTCGTTGCACACCTCAAAAAAATCCTGACTATGCGTCGGACGGTCGCAAACCCGCGCAGACCTCAAGCAGAAGTGAGCAGACAAAAAGCAACTGTGATTGGTCCTTGGTATGCATTTCCGGCTGTGTGGTCGTCCTTCTCAATTCGGTGCCGGGGCGCGCCATTTTTAAAAACCGAGGAGTAATAACAATAATGGAAAACTAGGATGAACGGTTGATGGTGCCGGTTGGAAGTACAATAGAAGCATACCAGCAAAACTGGTTCGCAACCAGACCCAAACGACATTTGATGGGCGCGGCTGCAGAAGTATAATCCGCCCTTAACGTCACTTGCATGCGCAGGACATAAGCAGATCTGGTAGCTACACCGTATGTGAACCAAATAAATATCCAAAGCTTTTCTAATCCCTCTGCTGTTTAGAATCACATCAACGCTGCAGGAAAGAGAGGAGGAGATCAAATCCCTTCAGTCGGACTTGAAGAACAAAAACAGTGACATCACAGGTCGGTCTGAGCCGTTCATGTGGTGAAGCAGCAGTGATTTAGCCTCTTAAACTCGGTTATAGATTGATAATATCGGCTGTAAATCTTTGGAATGCCTCCTTTTATGCTGTTTATTTGTAATTGTGTCCTGTTAGGTCTACACGCAGAGCTGCGATCTAAAGAGGAGGAGCTGAAGCTGGAGGAGCAGAAGAGGAGGGACCTGGAGGAGACGGTGGACCTTCTCAGGAAGGAACTGAGCAAGACGGAACAAGCCAGGAAGGACGCCAGCATCAAGGTAAAAGTTTAGCCGTTAGCCTTTGTCCTGGTTACCCTACAGCTAAAAAAGGAGGCTTTATTTCAACCAAAGCTGTTTGTTATTTACTGGTTCTATAAAAACCCGGTTAAGAGCGGCTTACAACCAGTAAAGTTTGTGGTGAGCGTTAATCCACACAGATCGATACATTTTCTATTCTTCCTGCAGTCAGATTTATAACCACTAACTGAGGCTGCGTTTCCGAACACCAAGCACACAGCTGACCTCCGCTTTATGCTTAACTGGATTTATACGAATCATGTGAGGCAGGATCTGAGGTTTTCCCTCTGCTGAAGCAAGTTAAGACCCTTAGAAGAAACTCATCTCTTATGGCAGCAGCTCAGTCTAAAATCAAAGCTTTAATGTATAAACATTAATGCTAGCTGGAAAAAATCTCAAATATATTTTATATCCACATTTGTGAGATCGTTAAAACGTTTTATTTTTAATTTCATCAGTGTCTGAAACTGTTCATCAGTAATCTAATGATGTCAAACAGAAGAGTTCTTTTTTACTAGTCTTCAAACTGGGAAGGATAAGAGAGCATTTAATGGAGGTAAGACAGATATGCTGCGTTCACACCAAACATGATTTGAGCAGCAAAGAAGCTTCCTGTGCTTCATTTTCAATGCTTTTCCACATTAAGATCAGAAGCACCTCCATAGCCCCACAGACTGATGGTGAGCTGTCACTAGGAAGTAGCTGCCTGAGGCCGGTGTTCTGTCAGATCAGCATACCTGGTCAGATCAGCATACCCATAATCAATACCCATTTATCCCTTTAGTTTATCCCTTCAGTTTTGTATGAAAAATAGACATTAAAATACCTCAACGGGCGTGTATTACTTTAGTCATGTGCAAAAAAAAAAACTATTTAAGGTCAGATCGTCATACGCTTCAAAAAACACCAAAAAGTGAGTAATTAAATAGTCTTTTTGTACACGACTAAAGGGATACACGCCCGACAAGGAAGTTTCATGTCTATTTTTCGTACAAAACTGAAGGGATAAACGCAAATCGGAAGTCTTGCGCGTGCATATTGACTATAGGTATGCTGGTCTGACACCGGCCAGCCTCTCGGGGATTTTCTGCTACTGTTTTCGCTAAACGGAAGATAAAATGAATATGAGCAGTAACAGTATCCTGGTTATGTTTTGCATCATTCAGGACCATAGTGGCCTGTGGATAAAATCTATTTTATCTTTCTCAGATGGCAGCTGGTTGATGTAGCTGGTTTTGATTGATTTTTTCCAGCGTTTTTATTGTCATTACATTGTCACAAGTACAGCGCAACGAAATTTACTCTACATTAACCCATCCCCTTGGGGAGCAGTGGGCTGCCATTGTGGGGCTCCCAGGGAGCAGTCGGGGGGTTAAGGGTCTTGCTCAGGGACCCAGAGTGGCAGTCTGTGGGAGTAGGTTTCAAATAGGGCTGGGCGATAATTCAATAACGATATATATCGATCGATAGACGTGTGGCGCAATAGAAAAAAAGAGGGTCGATAAAAGTTCGATAAAGAAACGCAGTTTTCCTTCCTTCTCATTCTAGCCTATCATGTAGGTTTATGCTAGTCACTACTTCCTCCCAACCAATCGCAATCGCGGACCCAGGCACGCCGTCACAAACCAGTGAAAACGAAGTCTGATAACGCAACCAACTTTTTTTTTATCATCTTAGCCGCTCACACCCGCAGGAGTACGAGCTGTGTAGGCCCCGGCGCGCATCTGCGTCGTCCTCCGAGGAATCTTCGGGAAAATATATATATATTTTCCGTTCTGGGCAGTTTCCCACGTAGTTCTAACAGTTGAGAGAAAAATGCTGAGGCGCCAGAAACTTCAAAGTAATAACTCAGGTTAAAGCAGGAAACTCAGCTGAACCATAACGAGGTGCCAGCAGCACCTCTAGAAGAATGAATGGGGGTGAGAAAAAATGCCCCATAGAAATGTTAGACTAAAGAGTGAGTTAATTTTTGTTTGGGTTTTTGTTCTTGTTGAGTGGAGTTTGTTTACATGGCAGCCTAGTCCTACAATCTTTTAATTACCACAAGCTGGTGGTGTACTATTCCCACCCAAATAGGGTATTCTATTTATTTATTTGTTATATTTCTTTTGGTCACTTTTCTGGTCACTTTAGTTTATTCTTTGTCAGTATTTAATAACATAACTCAGGTCTCTTGAGTTATTTTTCTTTAAAACAATTCTGTTATGGTTAAAAAAGTTGGTTAAATAAATATTTAATTGGAAGTCTGTGTTTGTGTTCTTTATTAAAATTAAATAATTTAGCAATATCATAAAATGTCCAGGCAAAGCTGCACATAAAATATGGTTTCAAATCTTTTCAATAATTATCGATATCGATCAATATGCATTTTTTTTAATGATAAGCTTTTTTTCTATATCGTCCAGCCCTAGTTTCAAATGTCCAACCTTAGGATTCCAAGCTCTATGCCCTAACCATTAGGCCACCACTTCCCTGGTGGCCCTCTCCACTCCACTCAGGATAATGATCCAAAATGAACATAAAAAAAAAAGATGATCGGATTTATTTATTGTTGAGCCTTTGAATCAAATCCCGAACCTTTACTGTGTTGCAGGCATCATCTCTGGAGCTGCAGAAAGATCAGCTGGAGGTCAAGTTGAAGCAAAAAGAAGAGGAGCTTAACAAAAACTCGGCCATGATCGCCATGATTCACAGCCTGAGCAGCGGGAAGCTGAAGGGCAATGTAAACCTATCGCTGTGAGGAGAGACAAATCACCTGGAAGAGGTCGAATTTAATGGACTTTAACCTAAACTGTACTATTTATGCTATGTTTTGTGTTTTTATCCATTTATGTGTTAAAGTTTATGAATTTAATAAAAATTCAAAAGCTGCCGAGACTAAAATGTCTCAAGCAGTGTTGTTTTCGTCAATGATGACAAAATTATTTCGTTGATGCTCCTTTTTTTCATGACGATAACGAAAACTGACGAGCTAAACGTGGATCTTTGATGACTAAGTCTCTGAGTCATAGGTTTGATTTTAGCTGACGTCACTAAATAAAAATTAGCAAGTAGTTGGTTAGACTTATAAACTGCATCATGGAACTGTAATCTGCCAAGCAGTATCAGCCGTGCTGCTGCGTCCTGTTTGGTCACGTAGCCCACCTGCCGTGCAGCGGTGCTCATTCTGCATGACCACAGATGGATCATGGCAGCAGCGACAGGAGAGAAAATAACCCGGATGGTCCGGTACCACGCGCTCAACTCTAACAAATTCTGCTCTTCCAGCTGTGCTTGTGCAGAAATGCGTCTTTGCACTCTTTTAGCTTTCATGCTCCACACTGATGGTTCGCTCTCAGCAGCATGGCTCTTCCTGCTCTTAAGAAACTATATGTGGCTGATCATCCTCTGCCAAGCGTACAAAACCCCTTTGTCTAACTATCATTATTTTATCTCTTCCAGCTCACAATAGGTGATGCTAAACCTTATTTAATTTCTACCAAAATGAATCCCTAAATTATATCCAAACCAAATATTGCATTGCATTCTTTTTATTTTTGGACGAAGAGCCAGGTGAAAAGGTACATAGATTTTGGATGTTTCTCTCTCATTGTTCTCGTTTATATCTATTCAAATGTAAATGTTTCCTTCTATTGCTATTACAACATTTTCTTTGTTTCCTTTCAATATGTAAAACATTTAGTTCACATAGTCATTTAATTTAGGTCTGGATTGTCATGGTATTACAAGGCAATTATGTAGGTTAATTATGTAGTTTAAATCTACTTTGACCTGAGCAGCGGTAACTAAGGGGTGAATTAAAATAAAGCCATAATTGCCAAAGTAGAAAGAAGGATCTTTTTGTCGTTTTTTTGGAGTATTAAAAATTTGTATTGATCTGTGTGTAATGCATGATTCAGAGTAGATCAGAAACCTTCTAAGTCTAAAACCATTTCTTTATTGTACATTTTGTTAGCTTTCTGTTTTCTATATTAACCAATATGATGTGTTGAACTAGATCTGCTATTTTCACAACTTTTATGAGACACTTTTCTATAAAGTAGAGTATTAATTCATTGAAACATTTTGTGCCAAATTTCAAGTGGTATTACTGGGCTGCTCAGCTCTCTATCGCATCTTGCTGGTTTTCAGCAACTGATCTGTCGTGGGTAAAAATAGAAAATATAAATGCCACTCCTTTATCCCTAAATTCATATCTATACTCAAGGAAATACAAATAATTATTAAAAAATACTTCCAACCCATTTGTTAAAAATACTTTAACAAAATGAAATACCAACACTATCCCAATTCTCCCCGATCTGGGGCAATATGTCATTTGAACCAGGTAGGACAGACATCGGTTTTAGAACATGGTTTGCTAAAGGTTTATGCAAAATCTCAGACTTAGTTGATAAAGGGATTATGATGAGTTTTTTGAAGATTTGAAACAAATTTGACATTCCAACTGAACTCTTTTTTTAAGTTTCTGCAAATCAGAAGTTTTGTAATGGGTACTCAAAAGTCTCTAACATTGCCTATTCTTACTTCTATAGAAGAATTGGTAACAAATGACCATTTGAAGAAGGACCTAATTTCCCGTTTTTAAAACATCATCAAAGACAGCTCCCAGACATCCCCCCAAATACAAACGATTGGGCAGGGTGGAAGACTTGAAATGTAATATATCAAAAGGAAGGGGCAGAGGGCTTTTTGGGAAAGGGGCACAGACAAAATTCCATTTAGAAACCCCAAATTTTTAATTTTAAACCCCAAATACAAAGGTTGTTTGAAACAAAAGTTACTCTAACCCCTACTAAAAAATTTAACCCCAACTTTCCGGAACATTGCTAATGTGAAGATAAAGGAAATTTTTAAATTTAACTTTTTTTTCGAATTTTTTTAAATTTCCCAAAATTTTGGGAAAGGGAGGGGGGTTGGTTTAAAATTTTTAAACTTACCCGTGGGAAATTTAAAACACAATCTCTTTTTCCGGGTTGTGTGTCTTGGGAATTTTTTTCCCACTCAAACTCAAAAAAGAAAGGGTTGTTTCAAAAGTCCATAATTTTTTTGGTTTGGTGCAGGCAAAAATATAGTAAAAGCCAGGTCCGGGGAAACCTTTTAAACCAAAACCCCCCAACCTTAAAACGGGGGTTTTGTCCCACAATATCAAGCCTTTTCCCTTTGGAAAAACTCACCTTGATGATTAAAGGGTAAATACTATGTTTTTAAAAAAGATGGGGGAAAAATTTTTTTTTTTAGCTAATCTTAAAAATTTTGAATACTCAAGGATTGACTGAAGGGTTATTTCTGGAAAAATTTCTGCTTAATGCCCTTTTTTTCTTTAAGTGGCGGGTTAAGTCGGGTTAATTTTCATGCAAATTTCCCAAATGTCCTCACCTGTTCAAAAAATTTTATAAAAACGAAAACTTTGGGAGCCCGGGATCCCCTAGAACCAGGGGGGGCCATGCCTTTTTAACCTCATACCCACCTTGTGGACTGTGGAATTAAAATTTATCTTGGAATAAGTCTAAAACATACCCCCCCGAGATATAAAATTTAAAATATTTTGTCTCCTTTTAATTTTTAAATGTTTTTTCGTCTTGAATTTTTTAATTTTTGTTAATGGTTTTTTTTTTTGGTTTTGTTAGGAAATTTTGGGTGCACTTGTGATTTAAATTTTCCCTGTAGGTCCTGAATATGTAAAAAGACAAACAATTTGGAGAAAAAAAAAATGACAGAAAGGGCCCCCCCCCCCTCTTTATTGTTCACTTATACGTCTTTCCAAAAAACCCCGGGGGACCAACCCCCGGGTTTACCGTTTCCCGGGTTTTTCTTTGGCCTGGAAATTTTTGGTGTGATTTTTATGTGTGAATGTTTTGCCCCGAGTTTTTTTTTTTTTTTTTTTCCTTTTTCTGTGGTGCAGGGGGGGCACAAAGGGGGGGAAAGCGTGGTTGGGGGTTTGTGAGTTTTTTTATTAAATTTTTTTTTTCATAAAAATTTTTTTTTTCCCGGGTTTGGGATCTAACCCCCCCCCTCTCTTCCCAAAAAACATCTCAATTCCTCCGCTAAGTGCGGACCCCATTCCCCCCTTCCTGTTTCCCTCCCGCGGTTTGGGGCCGTCGGGGTTTTCCACCGTGCATTTGGTGGAGTTTCGGGGTTTGGGGGGGAGGCCCGGGGGTTTACTGGGCCTTTTCCTGGGGGACCCCCTTCCCGGGGGCCCCCCCCGGGGCCGGGGCCTTGCGGGGGCACCGGGGGCCTTTTGGGATCCCGGGGGCCCAAAAAACCGGGTTTCACTTCAGGGGGGCCGGGCCCTTCCCGGGCGGAGCCCGTGGACTCGTCCCCCCGGGCCTTCCCCGGGGGGGCCCGGGAAATTGGGGGTGGCTGGGGGGGCCCTCGGGGCTGTTTTTCTCCTCCCCCCCTTGGGGGGGGTCTGATTTCCTTGTTTAAATCCCCCTTTGGTTTCCCTTTTTCCCCCTTCCCCTTTGGGGCCCCTGGGGCGTTTGGGGCTTTTGGCGCGGGGGACTCAGTGCTCGGGGGGGTGTAAACTTTTTTCGGCTCTCCACAACCACTATTGACATTTTTTCCTTGGATAAGTTTAAAACATGAAACAAGTGCACCCTCCCCAAACAATTACCGGTGTTTGGTTTCCATACCAGAAGACTCCTTCCAAACAAAAAGTCTAAAAATTCTTTATTTTTCCATTTAACAAAAAAAAGGGGGGTTTTTAAATGGTCCCAGACTTTTTAAATACTACTTCACGATATTTTCAAGGTTTTTGCTTTTTTTGTATTCCGTCCCCTTGCCCCTTTTGGGTTTTCCGTTTTTTTTTACAACTCTTTGGGCCAGGTAAAGGGAAACAGATTTTGAAAATTTTTTGGGGTCATTGTCTCTTTTCTATCTCCTCTTTTTTTAAATTTTTTCTTTTTTTTTTTTCTTTTTTCCCCTTTTTTCTTCTTTTTTGTTTTTCTTGCTCTATTTACATTGAAAGGTTTTCCTTAAATAAACCAAAAATCCCTGCAAAAATTTTATAAAAACCAATTTATATGCATGAAACAAAGGGAGCAATGTGGCAATTTTGGCCCAAACCCCCTGTTTACACTTTGTGAAAAGTAAAGGGTGTTGGCTTTTTTTTGGCATCAAGACAATTGTTTTTAAAATTACCACATTGCCAAAAGGGGGAACACTGAAAAAAAAAAAAAAAAAAAGGGAAAAAAAAGAAAAGGCCCCTCCCCAGGGTAAAAATAAGGGACTTTAAATCAAACCCCCCGGCCCAGAATTTTTTGTTTTGACACACGACTTTCAAAAGTGCAGAATTCTACACTTGACATTAGTCCCTGACAGGGAATCATAGGTAAACTGGAAAACTGAGTTAGTTTTTGGGGGCAAATAAAAAAATTTTTAAGGGGAAAACTGTTTATCAAAAAGTACAAAAAGGGAAAAAAAACCAAACATACTGGCGGGAGAGCGAAAGGGTTTTTTTGACTACTGGGGAAAATAGACAATTTTTTTTCCAGGGAAAAAACTTGAAGAGGCTTTTAAATTGTTAAAAAAAGGCAGATATTTGGTGGAAGCGGGGCTTGGACTTTGTTTGAATTTTTATAAATTTGGGGGATGAAGGGGAAATATTTTCCCCAAATTTAAACCAAGGAAAAGAGGGTTGGTACTGCACATGAAAATTGACAAAAATTTGTTTGGAACTGGGGAAACCTAAATGAACTGTTGGACTTTTTTTGAAAAGATGAAAAAACAAAGGAAATTTTATTTAAAAAAGAACAACCCCCCTTTCCTCCTAAAATTTTTACAAAATACAAAAACAATGTTTTAAAAAAAAACATTGTGAAAACATTTTTTGTACCCAAAATTTCAGTGAATTTTTGGATTTTGGGACCCTTTGTTCATTGGAACCTTTTCTCAGACCTTAAACAAAA